TTTATTTGTAGCTTCCTGCAGCACAGTATTGTTCATGCAATATGTATGGTGTATATACTACCAATTTGGATCATTTTGTTCTTATCAAGATGAAATATCATTCATCATGGGTCTCCCCACTCCATGATTTCTCATGTCAAAGTCAAAGTTTCTTTGAAAATCCCTTGATGTTGTTTCTGTGTATGCTACCCTGGAAATCTAACTAGTAGGTGCTTCTTTTATAACATATGGCATGTTATTGATATCTTCAATTGTAAAACCTTAAATGAAAAAAATTAGTTGTCCTGGGTTAAGGAAAGACAAAGTACAATATTGAATGGTACTAGTAGGAAGCAAGTGCAAGTGTTACAGGTACTGAAAGCACTTAGGATTTACAAATCTTCAGGAACTGAAAAGGATGACAAGCACTAACAATAGAATTATAGACCAACAAACTTTATTTCTATTAAATGCAAGGTTATGGAAATTAAAATTAGAACTAAACCACAGGATAATTTGTACGGCAATGGAAAGCTTGGAGATGATAAATTTGATTAAGAAAAGTCAGGCTTTGCTTAACTAACAAGTTAGAGTTCTTTATACAAGCAATACCAGTAATAAATACAGACAGCACATATGGTTCTAAATATCTAAATATTCTTCAAAACGTAGCTCATAAAAAATTAAGTCTTTAACTTGTGGAGAATTAGCATTCAATGTAACCCATGTTACAAAATCGTAATTATTTTTTATAATACCCACCTTTTGGAATTGCCTATTATGTGTTTTCACATCTTGCCTCATGGCTACAGTACAAACCCCAGAACACACAAGACAGAATGAGGAAATATAAGCAGACTCTTCTGACCCACCCACCTCCCAGCCACTGATCAAAGGTGACAGCCCCATGATCCAGTCAGAAGCAGTGCTGATTGGAGGAGAGGTGTGTTCATCATTGGCAGCAACCCAAATCTATAGGCATCTGAGATGCTACAAGTATTGCTGTGTTGCCAAGAGAGTCCTGGTCAACTAATTTCATTCTACCCTCAGCAACACTCAGCTAACTGTGTACCAACTCTTGCTGAAAACAGGTCATAGTCAACTAGTAGTCAACATAACACAGCTTAAAGCAGTGAGTCCTGGACCATAGAACTCACTCACACAGGACCTGCACTCAGGTGAATGCCTTTACCAGCTAAGGCACTCCACAGGCCCCTGTTATTTTAGGATATAAATATCTTTATATTACCATGTTCACTATGTACCTTGTCAGTTTCAAAAGTTTCCCAAAGTTGGGCCTAGTCAGTACTGGGATGATAGATCTCTGAATAAAACCAAGTAGCCATTGATGAACCAGTAGGTGGCACTATTCCATCTGGACCAAAATTTCCAAATCAATGCCCCAGTGATTAGGGACACTAAGCGTAGAAGTTTTATCATTTGAATTAAATAATAAAGATCCCCTGACACCTGGGTGTAGGGGTGCACATACAGTGTAGGGGGTTAAGTTGCACTTACACAATTTGGCCTAAAAGGTCTCCCTTAATTCAACTGGTGAAACAGTTTCTCACTTCCCTACCTGATCTGCTGTGCAGTAACACATCTGGCTTATAGTTGCCATGCATCAGTTGGGTGAGTGCTGCACATACTGTAAGTAGTGGATGAAGTGGATTTCAAAAAGCTATACAAATGCAAATACTTATTAAATCACTACAGTATATGTTGTATACCTAGTTTTAAAGTAACTTTTATTATAGTGAGAAATGTGGAAACAGTAAAATGTACTTAGGCGGTTTTGAAATTATATAATACATGAGTAAAAACTCATTTAGAATATCGCATACTCTTGAGGTCACCATGTTACCAAAAAGTTCTGGAAGCAATTACATTGTTCTTCTTTTAATAAAAATACTGAGTGTCTGCAGTTTTGAACAAAAAATATTACGAGGGGACCTCATTCAAACATTCCATATTCTTAAAGACACTTACAAAGTCAACCCAATGGACTTCTTCAGATCAAATAGTTCTACATGGACCAGAGTGCACATATAGAAAGTATGAGGAAGTACATCTAACATTGAGATTAGGAGTCACTTGTGGTGGTCAAAGTCAGAAACAAGCTACCCAGCCATGTTATCAGATTGATACCCAGGCTATTTTCAAAGTTGCTAGATGGAACTCTTGGATCAATTATCTAAGAAACTAAAAAAGCTACAATTAGTGGATGAAAAAATATAAACACTAGGGTAAATGAGTGACACGTAGTATATTGAAAGCAAAGTGCTTCTACTGAGACATTGATCATCTATTAAAATTAAGGAAAAACTTATCAGCTTGCTCAGGGTCAGCTATTAAAATGCTGGACAGGCCTAGCTACCTACTAGGAGACTAGGTGACTTTGAAAAGGAGTGGTTGTGGGAATGTGATGACAGGTGGTTCTGTAACCAAGACTGATCAACTTGCCGATGTTTCATAAACAACAGTGTCTAAGATGATGTCAGCATTGCTATTGATATCTTTCCCTCAGAGATCAAAGGGCAACAGTATGAAGAAGCACATATTCCAAACTTGTAATATCTATACATTAAATCAAATTGGAAGGCAATTACAGGGAAGCAACTGCCTACAAAATTCAACCTGGGGCATGATCACAAAATTTAATCAAAAATATTCCCCCAAAAACTCCACATAGTGGATACCACAGTCGGGTTGCAGTGGATAAATCTCTCATCTCACAGGCCAATGTATGTTTATAAGCTTAATGGCTTTAAAAATCATAGGCAATGATCTCTGGGACAGAGGAACAATGTGATATAGTCAGATGAATCATCCTTCATGGTCCAAATGGACTTCTCTCATTTTTTAACCTTTATGATGTTCTTAACGGTACTGCATAATCTTCGTCAGCCAAAGTTGCAGCATCCTGCATGGAGGGGAATCTACTAGGATGACAATGTCCCCATCCACAGAACAAGTGTGGTCTCCTAGTGGTTTGATGAGCCTGACACTGAGGTTGTCCATGTCATGGCCTTCTCAGTCACCAGATCATAACCCAATCAAGCATTTGTGGGATGTACTGGATCAACACCTGAGACAGCATTTTCCACCTCCATCAAGAGGGCATGAGTTCACTTATGAACTCCTTGTGGAAAAACAGTGCTACATCCCTCCTAGAGAATTCGAATTGCTGGTAGACTTTATGCCATGGTGCGTACTGGCTGTACTGGTTGCACATGGTGACCCAACACCATATTAAATAACCTTTCAATGATGTTTCCATTTTTTGTCCACTACCTATAGATGGTCAGTATTGCCTTTGTCTAGTTTGTAACATTTCTTATGTTCTAGAATCTTTGTACACTAATGGCACAGTACATAAAACACACAGTAACACAATTATACAGAACATAGTCTTCATAATTACTTTGAAAGTAACCTTTTTAAATGTCCATGGTCTCCAGCTGGATATTATATTTGTTATCCTATTCATCATGAAATGCTAAATCAAAAGACAAAGATACTGACTCTTGAATATGATGAACCGAGGCACTCTCACAAAACTATTTGCAAAAGGCTTTCAGATGCAATGATCAGCAATCAAATTCGTAGCAAAACTACAAATCCCACTGTACAACAGTGTTCCAAAGATTTTTCCTTTTCCAAAGTTTTCTAAAATAAGCAGGGCTGAAGGCTTTGGCTCTATCTCAAAAGATGAGAGGCCTATTCTCATAATATGAATTTCATGGTTCAAAAATCTGGAAACTTGGCAAAAGATGCCACAGGGCTTCAAATATGCAAAACATTATAATGTAAGACAGAAGGGGATAGACACATTTTCATCTGATACCATTCATAGCAGAGGATTAGCAGGTTCAGACAAGAGCTCAATCACTGCAATGCACATAAAAAGTAAGAAACAGCTGTGCTTTCTCACAACACCTTTTCAGTAAATACAGTTGAAACATCAAAGCATTACCAATACTTATAAATGTTGCTATGAGATGGAGATGATTTATTACTTTTGGTTCTCCACAATTGTTAAAACATTACACTGGGACATGATAAGTGGAAACAGTAGCAAAGATTAGCAAAGGAAAATTCAATAAACTTCTAAAGAAGAGTAACACAAATTGAAATTCATATCTACTGTATGTTTTCAAATTAAATTATTAACTTTCCCAAATAACTATCTGAATAGACCAGTTATCATGCAATACTCAGTTATTGTCATTGAAAGACTGAAATACCCAGTAAATTAATTTCTAGCAAATGAAAGTTTTGGGTTTTGACAGAGCAAAAAAGCAATCACAATTGCCAGAGGATGTCATAGTTGAAAACAATACATTATCACTATACAATATCCTCCTAGGTTTATGTGTGGAGAAATGAAGGTGTAACTAGTATTTCTCCTCATCATAATGGCACAAGTTTCAGATACAAAATCATCTACCAACAGTGCTGACTAAATAATCTGGCTGCTATAGATAATTACTCCTCCCACTATTATTTTATTAGCTATTATTTTAACTGCATTTTTAAGTGCATTTTGTTTTTCAAATGTAACCGCTTTTTTATTCTGTCCACTCAGTTTGGATTCACAAATTGTCAGCTCTGCTAACTACTGTACTTAAATCACTATACAGAGGACATTCAAGCAGTCCTTCAATCCTCCAATATGATCACCTGTCAGCTTCACTGACTGGAAAAGTGGAGCATCTTTCACTGACAAAAAAAAGTATGCAGGGGCACAGCAGGTGTTGCATAATGAGCTATGGAGAACCTGACCATCTCAAATCTACCCAAACCCACCAGTGTTCTCGAGCTCTGCACCATCACTTGGGAATCCCCATCACAATTAACAATTAAGTAATGACGCAGCTTGGACTTGATGTAGCTATGGAACCTAATCAATGATCAATGCTCTCAGAAAGCACATTTACCTGTTAAGCATGTTTTATTTGATAGTAAATAAAATAAATTAGTATCTGTTAAAAAACAGTTTGAACACTGTTCATCCTTACCTGGAATAGTTGTGCAGTATTCAGGGTGTGTTTTAGAGCTCCAGGAGCTTGAACGTAAAGATCGTTTTTGTCTAATTACATTGTGCTCCATGCCAATGAAAGAGTTTTGGGTGCCATTCACTGGTTCAATAAGCATCCTCTCCTCTCCAATTTGGATAAGACCAGTCTATAAGCAAAAAGACAATAAATAAAATCAGGATTATGAGAAATGATATCAGAAACAATAAATAAGTACATACAGTAAACCACCCAATAAAGTAAATACATTCTTACACCTCCTTAGTTTTAAATTTAGACAGGTAGGCTATAGTTTGTCACTCAATGTATCATTTCAAAACACACACAAAGAACATAGTGTGAGTATGAACAGAAATTCCAGTAAATATAATTATACTTGAAAACAATTTCCTGCATGTTTTAAAATAAATCTGTTCTAACAGATCAGTTTAAAATGTAAATAAGGCCAGAACTGGACTCATTTTTCCTGCTCTGCATGTGTTCTTACACAGCACAATTCAATGCATCAGCTGAAAGTGTATATGCTATTCCAGAACAATTCAATCACAAATAGACTCAAAACATCTGAATGAAAACTGACAAAAAACAACAAATATTCATGTGAAATTAAAAAATAAAGTACAGATCTCCTGCATAGATGTTGCAGGTCTGTTGTAAGAAAATACACTACGTCTTACAGCAGGTGCAAAATCTTCAATGTAATTCACTTATTTGTATAATAAAATTGTTTAATATCCATATATGATCATTAGGAGCCTAAAAGTCTTGATTCTAACTATAATAAGAGTGACTGGATTAAAAGATGTCTCCGACACCCTCAGGTTCGACATACAATTTATAAGTATGGGCAGGTTATGATAACTCATACCTAATTATATAAGAATGTTCTTGTCCAGTAGTCTTCAACTGAGAGGTCTTTTGAAAAGAAATGTATTTACTTGTTTTGAGGCTAGAACATGTAACAAATATAATTGACTATAGGGATTAATTAATGTGATCTAAGAGTTTCTTTATATAGCTCTTCTTCCAAGAACTGTAAAACACACAAAGCCAAAAAAACATTTCCATTCCCGTAAATCATACTGAATAATTGCCATAATATAGAAATGTGTTTTTTCCTTATAAGATATGCAAGTACACCCATTTCTTTGAAAAAGTATAGCCACATCATGCTGATGAGCCTTAATAAGACCAAAGTAACTTTCTGTGGCAGTATTAATGTAAAGCAGAATCAGAAGTTTCTTAATAGATGGTTCTTCTTCCTAGCAATGTGAAACAGCCAAGGCTAGTTAAAATTAGTATTTCCATAATTAATATAACTGTCTAATATCACTGCAAGGAATCACAGTGGTTGGTACACTAATTAGGAATCTGCTTGTCAAATGTCATATAAACACAAGGCAAAGAATAATGCCACCATTGAACTGTAACAGACCAGGAGTTTTCCCTACCACACACACAGTGCTGTCAACTTCAAGGCACTTACCAAATGCAGTAAAAATAAAAAAAGATAAAAGCATTCACAAAACAGATGTATACAGGAGATTTGAACCCTCTATTTAAGTTCCACTGAGATGCCTCAGGCTTCAGGTGGGAAGAACACTTCAGTGTACAAAGTGAGAACACCCTGGTGTGTTCTGCTAAAAAAAAAGCTTCTCTCTCAACAGATGAAAACATTCAGTCCATACCATACGCCTTTTTGATAATAAAAATATTTACACATAGGAACATATGGCATGCAGTATTAATGACAGTTTTAATTCATTTGCATTCTGTATAACTGGGATTTAAAAATTAATGTGCTAATAAAAAGTGTAAAATTTCACCTGGATGGCCATGTGATGTTTTCTTCTCTCTGTACAAAGCATGCCAAGCTCAGTGATAGCAGTGCCACTTGCACTATACTATCACTGTCTCAAACTACTTCTGTAACTGTAGCTATCACTCTGGATATACAAAGATAAGTGACCCCTCTAATTACAGTTCATATTAACATAATTTATAGGCATCTCAAAAACCAGCTGCACATAACTGCATCAGAAGAAATACATAAAAACAATGCCTCTTCCTATATGTGTATAGTTGTTTTTAATTATTCCATTACCTTTTTCCAGTGAAATAATGATAACAGGGAACATTTGATCACACTGACTCAAATGCCGAACTGAAAACACCCACTGAGCAGCACTAGAGAGATGACTCACTATGTTGCTTCTGAAAGAAGCTTAAATAAAAGAAATAAAGAACAAGTAGGAAGGTATGGGAAGATAACATACAGTATTTTCAAATAAGTCTATTACTACTTAGTTAAGGGCATCTCCTGGCAAGTGTAGCTAGGAGAAAAGGTTGTCAATGCAAACATGTTTGATCTATTTATTATGCTTGACAGACATTACTTTGTTATCACAACATATTAATTGTTCAGTCAAGCACAGAGTTATGCTTTGTTTTGGATATTATTTAAAAGCTCCAGTAAGGAATCTTATGTATATTTTTTCTATTTCAGATGCTACAATTTCAGGGTTTGAAAGAATGTGTCACCAGTTTTTACAATCAGTTATATGATATAGGTGGAAAGGTATAGCTGGAAAAAAAGTTTTTTTCCATCTACATCTTGGTATTTAAAAATAAAAAGGAATGGATGAACAAAGTGATTCCATATAAAGTTATGAGATATTATCAGGCGAATGTGGGTTATTGATTGAGATCCTTATGATCAGAAGCATCTCAAATAAAGAAGAAAACATAAGGCAGAAAACACACACTGAGTACACATTAAACAAAAATGCTAAAACCTGAAGTGTTATGACATCTCATCTTTCCACTTTTATTATTCAATTACTCAATTATTTGCATTTCACATAAGATTTTAAGTGGAAAATTAAATTATATAGTTATATAAACTTTAAGTAGTTATATAAATAATCCCTATTTCCTTGCTGGAACAGTAGAAAACAAAAAGGTAGAATAAGTGTCAGGACAGAATTCTACAGATTGCAGAATGAATAAGAAAGTACAGAAGGTACTTGTTAAGGAGTTCCTTTATCCAAATGCTTTTAAGCAGCAGCTGGGTTATGTTATGTAGTCAGTGCATTGCTTCTCAAATGCCATCTGCAAACAAGCAAAGTCCCACCCCACTGAAGAGACATCTGCTGGTCTTCCAGGCCCCAGTGATACAGAAGGAATGACTTTTAAAATGCAATTCTAGCCTATGTAAGGATTTCTTTCTAAAGCTCAAATGAATGGAATATATGCAGCACAAAGTACAATTTTGACCAATACTTCACTCTTCAGTGAAAACCATAATCTAAAACTGTTACAATAAATCCAATTGCCTCCACTAGGTGGAGATTAGAAGATTCTGTTTACATTGAACGTCTTCCAAGAGCAGAAGAGATTTTACAGTACAAATACAACTGTCTTAAAGTGCCACTGTATGACCTACTGTACATATTACTTCGTAGGTTTGTTTTACTGTTGCTTCAAAAACTTTTGATTTGGCAAAGAATAATGGAATAATGGAACACAAGAGACCATCACAACTCTGTCCACTGAAAAGTCTGCATTTTCACTCATTGTAAGGATATGTAGTCAAATTAGATTGTACTTCATCGGGCATCTATTATAACTCAATATGTGTACTTAATAGATTAATTTTATTTTGTGATTTTAATCATTATATACCGGTTTTTCATTTTATGTCTGTAAAAATAAACCTTCTTTGGACTACTCTCTATGAACTATAGGGCCAAAAAAAAAAGTACCTGTTTTACCAGGTTTTTATTACTATTTACTACTGACAGTATTTAACAAAATGAAATGGAAAACATTTTTGATCATGCAAGTCAAATGGCTTATGTGTATATAATGACATATACAGTATGACAATGCACGTAATTACAAGAGCAACATAACCACATTTTGTACTCACTTCCAGCAAATGTTAAACAAAAAGCTCTAAATTAAAAAAGAACTGACAGCTACAGTATGACAACACGGACTGATGATAAACAGCTCAGAACTGCAGAGATTCTTGGCCACTCTAGAAGTCTACCAATCACAGGCAACAAGAAGGACTGTCCAACTGTAAAATTTGGATCATTCTCAACTAGCCGCTGGGTCAGACAGGAGGTAGCACTGCCCTCACAACGCCTAGGGCCTCAGCAACCCAGTCCAGCCTCTTCAATAAGCTGGTTCACTGCTTATCATAATAGCGTTACTCAACCCTTTCACAGAGTTCATTCACTGACTGCTTGATTCTGCCTCTGTGTAAACTCTATCAGCTTGCGCTGTCTATTCAATTCAAAATACACAACTGCTTCCAAATAGAAAAAAATAACTTACTTATCTATGCCAAAACTGTTAAATCCTTACAAACAACAAACTGTTAGCTCCAACTAATGAAAAAGCAAAGACAAAGAAAACGTCTGTTTATTCTTTTGAAAGTCATTACCCTTGCTAAAAGTTTGCCTTTCAGTGCTTTTTTGTTAACAATACCCACTTCTGCATTTTAAATCTGCCATTACCAAAGAACATCACAATTGGTACAAATAGGAGGTGGCTGTTTGGTGCATCTAACCTGACAATAGACAGGAAGACATGCTGAGCTGTCAGGAAGTGTAGCACAAGACTTGAAATCACACCTGTTGAAATGCCTAAGACCCAGACGCAGTGCCTTAGACCACTTGAACAAAAACAACATCCTCAAAACTCAGATTAAGAATGAGTTTAAGCAGCAAACAGTCTGTGTGTGGCCCTAATGCACCCTTCTGCTGATACACTAGGCAAGGGTGTGGCAGTTCTCAGCTGTCTGGTATTGTATAATGTTGGGCTCAGCTGTGAATAGATGCCATTTGTGCATGGCTATCAGCTGGGAAAACTTGAGTATCAAGTTAGCTGCTCCTAAAATAAATGCACAACTTGTCTATAACCATCATAATTGTATCAGTATGTCAATTACCCTCCCACAGACTTAGATGAAAGTACAAATGTGATTAAAAACTTTTACCAGGCCGCTGCAAGTGCTGAGTGATGCAAAAGAGTTGCTGTAATTCAGGACTCGTCCGGTGTAGAAACACAGCTGATTTTGAGGGATATGCGCCAGCCTCGTATTTTTTTTATCTTCGTTATCCTCGATCTTAAAGCCCTCTGAGAGGAATCCTGCATCTCTTTTAAGATACAGATACAGCTCTCTCCCAAACGCCGGCAATCGGAGAAACAAGTTTTCCTCATGTTCCCCGAATTTCGAGTCTTGGCTGTCGGCGTCTGGCAGAGAGCGGTGTCCCCGGTATCTGTGCCGCCTGCTCCGTCCGGCTCCTTCCCGCAGCAGGTGGATCTCGTCTGGGCTCAACGCAAAAGGGACAACCAAGTCCGTCTCGTCTCCGGAATCCGCTGCTGAAATAAAATAACTTTTATTAGTGTGCATAAATTCTAACTCAAACCGAATTACGTACTGAAGATTTCAACAGAGCTTATTGTCAGAGGTTCTAACAAAAGACACGTGCGGTACAGTCGTCGTACTATAGTCGAATAGTTAGTCAGGGGAACTCTTTCTGAAATGTGTACAGGATTAATCACACAGTTATTGTGTTATGTTGGCTTCTTTTCAACATGAAAACAAATGCAATAAAACAAAAGCTTGAGACTAACACGAACAGAATGGAATGTGTAATTCAGGTAGACCCTCTCATTCAGTCCTCAAGTTTTAGAGTCGGTCGCCAAGTTATAATGAATGGAAAGTATGATCCATCAACTTTAACAATTTCCAGATAACTTTGAAAAACGTTGCCCTTTCATCTTCATTTAGATTACTAAGCATAAACGAAAAAAAACGCACTCGTCTCCAAAAAATATTAAAATTATCGAGCCATGCATAGCAACTAAAGTTCATTTTATACCTCGTTAACCAAACGATGACAATTTCGGTTTCGTGATTTAATGTAATGTTTCATAACTCGCAAATGAATGCAACAACAAATTATCCAAACAGACGACCCTGGCAGAAACCACCGTCTGAACACGAAATACAGTATTTATGCAAAGATGATATTTCAAGAATAATGCATATTTTACGATATATAAATAGTGTAGTCTGATTAAATGAAACTGAAATAATTGTGGAAATAAAATATGTTACTATTTTGATACAGTAACTTACCTGAAATTATACTGAATCCGATGCTCACCAGAAGAGAAGAGAGTAAAAGCTGGAGTGCATGGTTGTCACGCATGGTACACAATAACTCAGTTCTTCAGCTTTTTTGCAGCGGACAGGACGAGCTCGCCTGCAGAGGAAGCTATGGCTGGGGTGAAGTTCTTCAAACTTTGCAAAATTAATCACCACTGCAGGCACACTGAACTTGAAACAACAGACCTGCCTGTTCTGATGTCCATAAACGTCTCCCGTCGGGATTGGGCTAGAAATGTTTTCAAAACAGACCCTCAAATTTGGATTCGCTATTTCTACTGTCAATCACAGTAGTGGGAGGCAACCGTACACGTGGTTTCGGTGGAGCTACAGAAACTGACACTGGTTATTTTGGTTATTTAGGGTTTACTCAGCCTTGCCTAAATATTGCAACCTGTGGTTTTAATTGTGAATCTGCGGCTAGTATGATTTATTCCTCTAATAGTTAAGGGAGGTTTTGGCTCTATATTTCTAAAATTATAAACAGCGCATTTATAATCCATTCATCAATCCATTTTCTAACCACTTCAAACCAATCCAGGGCTGTGGAGCAGCCTATACTGGTAACCAACAAGCACAAAGCAGAATACTCCCTGGACCAGACGCCAGTCTATCATAGGGCAGTTGCAGACATACCCACACTTACAAAAGGGCCAGTTTTCCCAGAAGCCAATTATCTGACCAGTATGTTTTTGGACTATGGGGGGAAACTGAAGGATCCAAAATCACGTGAACACAGGGAGAGCATACAAACTCCACACAGACAGTGCCCCAGGTCCAGAATTAAACCCAAGGCCCCAGTACAGCAAGGTACCATCAAGGCGAACCACCACACCATAATGCAGACCTTGCTTTTTCATGAAGACAAATGAAAATGCAACATTAAAGTAATCAGCAATCGTTTAAGGTATTTTTACCATCAAATGAAGGATTAACTGTGGATAAGAAATAATTTAGCTCATTGTAGCCATAAGAAACTATTCGTTATGTAGTACCTATGACTTGAAATACCCTAAGGCACATAATAATCTTAAATCATTATATGGAGGTAAATATCTCTGAAATGCCTATATTAATATTGTTAATAACCACATTAATTGTAATATAATGCAGCCAACCCAACTAATAATGCAGAGGAAAGTATTTTGTGAATAGCATACTTTATATTACATAAGTCAAGGTATTGACAATGTTTTCTTGTGTCGCTGGTTTAGTTCTCATTTCCTTGGAAATTGGCATATAAAATATACCTATTAAACGGATGCAACAAAACTATATTTCAAAATACACATGTATAAATGTTTAAGATTCTGATCACAGAATGGTGAAGAAATGCAATGTAGCAGTAATCCTCACTCTACCCCAAAATGCTTGAGAAAAATTGGTAATTAAAGCTAATTAAAAACTTCAATAAGTGATTCAATTCAATCAAGTCTTAAGCTCTAGCTTGAGCTCAACCAAATATAATAATTCTTAATGAAATATACAAATAAATGTTATTTCTTGCTGAGTAATGTCCCCATCACTGAGCAGGAAATGTTTCTAACAACTATGCTACTGACATTTACTAATCCGTCTCTTTTTTAAACAAAGAGTTTTAAGAGATCATAAAGCTTAGAAATTGCACTGCTTGTTTGGTTTTGCTAGAAACTGAAAAGAGGATGCTTGTTTCATCTTTGTACCAATCCCATAATGGAGATAATTGCAATCTTTACAATTTTCAATCCCACAAAATAAACAACAAGGATTTGAGATAAAATACAAAATCTGGCTGGCTTGATGCCAAGGTGAAAGAAGTGTGGAACTATCAGAGAAGATTCCTGATTCATGTCTTGACATATCAGCAAGTGAAAAGTAAAGCCTAGAAGAAAAAAAGCACAGCTGTTCTTTTTCCTTACTCACATACAACTTTCTCTACAGTGATTGTAAGCTACATTAATGCTATATTAATGCAGAATATTAATGCATTCTTAGTACTCATTAGACCTAAGAATTTAAAGAGATACTTAAAGTATATATAAGCTATATTCCTATCCACTAAAAATTAAAGGTTAAGAGTTAGATTTTGTTATGTAAATATGCATACTTATTTTAAATCTTTCACTACGTAAATGTTTTTAAGTGCACAGTTAATCAAGTTACTAGACAAGGAAATCTCTGCTCTTATTTAAATTGTAAGAATCACATCAGGTTTACAGGCTAGTTACAGAAAGGTGCAATTGTATTTCAGTTAAATGTGTAACTCTTTAGAAAAATGTTTCATATGTTTGATTCAAAAGTAATAAAGCATGTGGGATCTGGTATTTATAAGATAATGCAGTAGATAAAGTTGTTTATGTACTTTATTTAAGGACATTAGCATTACTAAATTATTTTAATGTCTTTCTCACAATTTCAAGAGTGGATTGGATAAATTAATTGAGATTTCTGGAGCGTGTCAAGATATATCTCAATATTTCTCCATATTCATTGCAGAAATGGAAACTGGTGGAATACATCAATTGCAAGGAGCATTTTTGTACCTAATAAAAAGGAGCCTAAAAATAACAAACATAGAAACCAGAGGCAAATAACACAGAACACGTGGCTGCATTTCAAATTAAATGCCTCTAACAGCTCTCACTTAACTTTTTTTTATCATGTGGTTATTATAAGCAAGTTAATGGTTTGTTGAAAAATGTAATCAAGTTTTGATTACAAATAGACCAGAAATGTATTTTCAGTTTGCAGAATATAGACATACAAATAAGTTATTTGTGCATAGTAAGTGCTTTACTCCCTGCAGGATGTTCACAGTGTTTAATTTTCCCAGTAGGTAGGTCAGATAATTTCCATATCCGAGCCACAGCAGTCAACAGCTCATCGAGTCAGAGCTTATCCTGGCTTCAGTTGTGTTAAACTCAAAACCCTGGATGGGATGCTGATCCATTGCAACTTTTGTAATAGACTAACTCCTAAATAGGGGAACTATTTGTAAGATTATTTAGTTTTATAGTACTGAACTATATGTAACATGAGTTTTAATTATACAGAACTATACTTAAAGGCACAGTTTAACCCAGTTTCACTTTCAAACAGACAATGAATTGTTTGCCTTATACAGTACATGGATGGAGTAGTATAGAACTCATTCCTCATACATGCCAGTACCCAGTTATTCCAAAACCATTTTATCTAATCATTTTTCCCATGCATTAATTAATTATGAATTAATTATTTAGTAAACAGGTGATTTAATGCTCCACATACAGGAGGCATTCAATTTAAAACACAATGTTACTATCAAACATTTTCAAGTTTTGAATATAACAATCCACTATGGAACAATTCGCAATTGAGCCCTAATGAGACATATAGATTCTTGCTGTTATAATGGTGTATTTTGTCGCATGACAAAATGAGATAAAATTACAAAATAACACATTATAAATGAGAGGAGGCCATTTTGAAGAAGTAGGTTTTAGGAGTTTGAAATAAACATAGAAATTTCCTTGTTTATAAAATATCAGTTTTACAACTTTTTAAAAGCTTGTATGTTTATAATATTTCCATTTTTCTGTAGTACAGTATATATCCTTACAGTGTGAAAAATATGTATTTGCTCCAGTACAAATACAGTATACATATTTAACCATTTCACTTACCAAATAAATGAGGAATTATACAGAGCCCCTTGATTTGTATTCTTATTGCTACGTATAAGTTAAACATACTTTTTAGTTTTTAATTATAACCTAGTGGCATTTTCTTTTATCCCTGTGACAGTTATGACAGTTTTTAGTTGGACCTGAATACAGTGCATTTAAGGAAGGGGAAATGGATAATAATTCAGCGCTAAATTTCTTTTTATATTAAGTAAATAGTTACAGCGAGAACAGTTTAGAGTGAAGCCAGTGTTTTGTGTTTTTAAGATAACGTAACAAGCAACACAACAAAGCAACTGATCAGATCTCTTTCTCGATATCCCAGCTACAGTGGCTTGGCAGAAAACACCAATACAGCCTACTATCATCAAAGACATTTTTAGTTTAATTTTTTCCACGTTTTTCACTTTTGTCTTTTATGTTCTGTAAATAGGGAATACTCCATACTGTAAACAGGAAGTGACACCAAATTGTATTTAAAAAGCATGAAAAATGACAAAGCTGGTGCAAATGTCATAGTTAATATGAACATTTGTGGGCTTATTGGTACTTTTTCACGTTGAATTAGAGTTTTGCACCAGAGAAATAATGAATGAAATAATCATTTAAAAAAAACGATACATTGAAAGATTAAACGATTTATCCCAATTCCATCTGATAAATGGAGGTGAAGAACCCGGACTTTTGTGCTTAATTAGAAGTAAATGTCACATGGGAACCCCCTAGTGGACAACAGTGGTTAATGCATGTCCCAAGCTTTAAGTACTGGTCAATCCTGTCTTATGGTTTTCATTACTCCTGGACTCCCGATGTCTTATTTGAATCCTTAATTGAATTTAAAATTTAATTGGTTAAACCACCTTATTCTCCTCCTGCAAATGTGTAGTTTTAGTGTTCGTGTGACGTAGGAATATTTAAATACATATACGGTATTAACTACAGTATTTAACTCAAACTATTCAAACAATTCTAATTATTAAAATATAAAATGTTGGTTTTAATCAAAGAATCAAGAGCTCAAAACACAAAACAGTACGAAAGCAAAACACTGATACAGCACACACTCATAGAATATCTATCTTCAAAGGAGTTAATAAATCAAAAGATTGAATTTAATGTGAGAGATTTTTTCACATTGTTTAACTGAGGAAAGCTGCTTATACATATATATTAAGCTGATTCATAATCTTTAATTGTAGGATCAATGCATTTCACTTAATTGTAGATGAACATTTGCTACGCGTTTCTGATAAATCAACAGAGAGCATTTACTGTACACTTTAGTTTTCACCGTCCCCCTCCTCCTTGATTCAGATGATGAAAGTGTGTTGAATTTAGACGACATGAGAACTAGCTGCTGGTGAATGTGAGGTCTGAAAAAGCCTGTGAAGACTGACAGCTCTGACATTTGCAATGGTCACCAGGATGGAATTAAGCTCCCTTTTACAACATGTGAATGGGTCCCTGTGTAATCCTTTAAAGGGAATCCAACTGAATATGTCCTCGATTTTGTGTATTTCTGCAGGATGGGTCATAAAAAGGATTAAGCTCACTTCCTTCCCTTGATTTCTCATTTTGGGAGCCTCAGGTTTTTGGCATGATTCCTCCTAGGACCTTGATTTCCTCTCCAAGGCTTAAGAAGTCAAGGTTCTGTCATGACAGAGTCAGCGACTAGGGAGCTTAGAGTATTTTCCCACGGGCAAAGAATGCATTGTGTTTGATTTTTAATCAGTCCAGCAGATTACACTAAGTAATTAAAGGGCTTCCAAGCTTATTCAGGTTACATTGTTGCCCCACAATTTATGCCAAGCAATTAAATACAGTATATGTATTCCAGACATGTAAGTGGGTTTTACTACATGTTTCCTATATTCTTATTCTGTATATCTTCAATGTCAATCCAGCCCCTTGATACAGTTTCAAAAAACACGTTTTTCCTAAGAAGGACAGAGAGAGTTGGAGCCTAACCTGGTAGACATAGGTTGTAAAGACTACATCCCTGAAAGAACAAAATTATGTTAAAGGCAGGCACGCACACTTTGGTACAATTTTTCAATTAACTTAGACAAACTTCCTTTCACTGTGAGGAAACTGGAGTAACTATAAAATAGTTAAAATAACTATAAAATTATTAAATTAAAATTTATAACTATAAAATAAAAAAACATGCAAACTCCGCACATAAACCTCACCATGTAAGAAAGGTGGGAAAAGGTCAATTCAAAGTTCAGATACCTTTTTGGGGTTAAAACTGCTAAAATATGTCTTAATGTACACAAGACAAAACATGTTAAGTGTTCTTTGCTGATTAGACTAATATTATAAAAACATATTATATTATAGCTGATCCAAATAATCAAAATATTTATTTTATTTGAAATCGCAAGAAATGGTTTAACATAAAATTACATTTCACAAACAAAGGATAATGAGCAAGAGTGGTAAAATGTTCGGCTCTCCGCAGATTCAGCACAGATTTACAATAATTGAGGTTTGCAGAAACAATGAGCCTTGATGTTTGATTCATACAAGAAGGCTTGTAACATTATTGTACAGACTCTGTGCAGCTGTGAAGGTTGGGATCAAGACGTACCTTGTATTTTTAAACTAACTGTACTTTTAATTCCAGTAGTTGTCAGAAATGTGTTGTTTTTTTTATTTTTGTGCTCCCTGTACTCAAAAATAACCATTGCACTAAGGGAAAAACAAACTATGTATAATGCTGGACCTTATCAAGTACCATCTGCAATGTGTTACTTTACTTAATACTCATTTTATATTGCTTCCTTTTTTTATGTCATCTTTTTGTTTCCAGTCAGTGTGCTTCTTCATCTTCATTTAAACCATCAGCTTGTCACTTGAAAGACAATACAGTACACTGGACCCTGAGGGAAAAGGAAGTCAAATTCTGGAGGGAAAATATCATTAACCAAATAGGGGTTAAAAAAGGAGGTGATCTTACAGTGCTCTTGCTGTCTTTTTGAAATTTGCAAAATAACAAAATTGGAATCTAGACAACAATATAATCTTTACACAAAACAGAGCTTTTATATGAAAGGCCAAAGCCAAACATATGCCAACAGTTCATTTAAAATAAATGGTTCATGTTTTGTCAAAAGAAAACTACAACTGTACAGTAACTGGAAAAAAAGATTATTTCAAAGAGATTATTTCACTATTTCTTCACACACAAAGAGGCTCCGCAATATAAATTATCTGTATTATTTCTTTCTACTTTTCAGCCTGAGATTAACTGTTTGTTGGTTTGCAACTCACATGTTCTTGAAAATCCCAATTTCAAATCATTTTAAAGTTTCATTGTGAATCTTATATAGTGACAAGAGATTTTGGATATAATATTGCTAAAAGCAAGGACATAAAAATGTTAGTGTTCAACAAAACTGATTACATTCCTGTCAATATGCATCATTTCAATTAAGATCTTAAACAATGATGTGCAAGAGAATTATTTTTCTTACTAAATGCAGAACCATGCGAAAACCAATCAAATAGATCAGTATGCTACCTCTACCGGAACAAAAATTAACCCTTTCAGCAGGTTGTGAATGTGAAATTTATATATGCAAAGTTTGAATAAAAAGTGTAAAATAAAGTACACAGAGATAGAGAGTGGACTTGAACAAGCCCATGAGCCCTGGGCTTTAAAATAATGAAAGGCATTTTATCATTCCCAAAGGTATTTAATTGGATTCTATTTCCTACTTATTTTACTAAGCTGTCACACAAATTATCTTTCTGTGGAATGGACAAAATAATTTTTCATGCTAACAATGATCATACAGAGCTGGCTAATATGCTTTATACATCACAATATTACTGCAGTGCATTAAATCTCACAATGTTTCACATTTTCTAAGGAATAAAGACATACAATGTAATAAGAAATTACAATTTTATACATACTTCAAAGTAGCAATTTTAGAGTTAAAGTACCTCTGATGTCCATACTCATTTTACAGTAACTCTGCAAGCTTATGTTTGCTGCATATCAAAGAATTTTAATTTATCATAAATCTTTACTTAGTCTCCAATGTAACCAATTTTTAACCCATCATGCACTCAGCTTTTCTTTGTTGTAATGCCTACTGTATGGTCATTGAAACACAAAACACTGGCAAGTTCCTGAATATAAACATACATAATCAGAGTTTATTTGTAACATCTACACCAGTTAAACCTGAATGCTTATTTCATGTTGTTTATTTTATCAAGATTTCCAAATAACGTCTTCATTAACCTACCTCAATAAATATTGTTTAATGGTGTCAGTTCACTGTTCAAGTACTTTTAGAACAAAAAATATATATTTTGATGTATCTATATATAAAACATTGTCAGTGAATCAGCTTAATCAGATTCTTTTTCTGATGGATGGACAATCCAAGATGGATCACTAGGATCTGCAAGAGTTATTTTAATGCTGTGATGATTGATTAATTGTATTTAAACTGCCATTTAATTAGCCATTTAAATCATTTTGTTTTAATCAATTAACATTCAATATTCATATACTGTATATTGAAGTCTTGAATACATTTACTATACATTTTTCATATTTCAGTACTTTAAGTTTTAAAGTTAAATCACTACTATGTTAAAAAATCTGTATAAAATAGAAAAGGCTCTTGACCTTTATTTAAAACACAAACACATTTACAACCTACTGTACTACATTAAAATGATAAGGCTACCTAAGAACCATTTTTGCGTAAATATTTTTTTAGATATATTTATGCTTTAAACTTAGTGACCCCTCCCACACACATGATATGTTTATGGAACAAATCAATCAGCAACTTCTCATAACTGAAGTTGGTGTTTCATATTATTATGGTGAAAAAAGGTAAAACAATCTCATTATCATTGGTATATTTAGAAACTCATTCACATAATAACTGTATTTGTTTTCTAAATATTAACCTCAAAAAGATGTAAATCATAATACTGTCCCATGTTAAATACAACACAATGTCCATATAGTAAAAAGTGAATAAAAGGCACTGCTCCTGTAATCCTACATACAATCACATCATTTGGAGGGAATTCTCAGATGAGTTTCAGATGATAAAAAACAGCTATAGAACCATACTGTATATGTATAAATAAGAACCAGCAATTTCATCACATTTATTTTCAATGAGAAATTCAAGATTGAAGCAGTGGAGTAACAGCTAGCCTGCCACAGCTACCACTAATATCAAGCTGGGTCTCATGAGTAAACACTAAACCTTTTTTGTTCCTAAAAAAACATGCTCATATCAGCAATGAGGATGCAGACATAAACAAGTAAACCTTTTATTTCCCGGTTTGTTTTGTACAAGAAACCTTGTAGAACCTTGGTAAAAATTTGCATCTTCTTCAATTATGTTTCATAATGAATGAGAACATCTGTAGGAAAGAGCAATATTTGAGCAAATTCCTTGACAACTTAGAATCTGAGTGTGAATTTTATGAAAAGTTGTTGACATGCTTTGATGGCTTAAGCAATTTTGTTTCTGTAATGTGGTACTGTAGGTGTCCTGCGTCACATCTTCCATCAATAAATCAAGTACGTATAATTTGTTTTGTTCTTGTCTTTTCTCATCGACACTTGTCTCTGACAGAAGGCTTCACACTTCATTGGGGCTCTGTGGGCTTTCTCCAGGACCGTCTCTGAGAAGCTGCAGGTGGTGGGACTGCATCAGTGCTAATGGTTACACTGACTGTCCACAGCAGCATCTCCAACTGCTGCTGCGCCATTCCTCACTTTTCCATGTCCTTCATCTTCTGCTGAATCGCTTACATCCTCCTCCTCTTCATGGTCACTCCTCTCGTCGCCAACCAGCTAGAATCAGGGAGTCAAGAAAAAAGACGATTCCTCATTAACCCACTCATTTGCTTTTAAATCATCACAGCTTTATAATTAAGTCAGAGATTAATGAAGTGAAGTCCTGTCGACTTTCTGTACAGTGGGTTTAAACTCAGCTGTGTTTAAACTTTCAAAATCCTGTGCCAGTGTTTTGAAATTAATTTCCTGAAAAAAGTATGTTTTTCTCTCAGCTTCCCTAGACAAGACTTTAATCCCTTTGTTGGACATGACATTCCATCCTATCATATGAGTACAGAATGCAACAACGTTACTGTGAACCCAGCCATCATTTCTATATAGAATATAAATGGAACCACGTTTTAAAATAAGGATAACACAATGCTATAAATGTTTATGCCTTTATATTTTCCTCGTAGGTATCAAAAGTCCTGCTCTTTCATACTCTAACCTCAGTATTGCCAAATTATACTTTTAGAAGTAATTACTTCAGACTTCTGAAAATGAAATGAAATTAAAAAATAATGTTTTTTGTTTAACACAAATGTTATAGCTAATCTGTCCTTATCAGCTGTATAAATCCCAAAGGCTTCTTACATATATTAAAACATTTAATTTTTAACTTAAAACATTCAGTAAAACACAAGTAATTGTGATCAGCCAAAATAAACTTTTGAGAACTGTAGTTCTGTGAATTATGACGTTCATTAAATCACTCAAGATTATGTGCCTTGAATCAACGGGCTGCTAATAAACTTATTAAGTCCGGTAATTGATTTTGGCACCTTTTCAATTACATTTATCAAGAAACAAGCACCTTGGCAATTCCACGGTAATTAGAAAGCCCTAAACTCACTGAGTCATTTACATCGTCTGTAAAATAGGAGTAAGTAAAGTCTGCTGACAGTAGACATGCCTGAAAATACTGTGCTTATGTATTGCAGATCTAAGCAGGCTGGTCTGTTATGGCATCTGAGAACAAACAGAGAACAGAGAACAAACAGAATGGCAGGATGGTTTTTCCAGAGGAATTTCACACACTCTTTTTTTGTCCACAAAAGTTGGAAAGTTACTTTGTGAAATGTAGTAATGCAGTATTTATTGAGCACAGCTGTTTTGCAATGGGCAGTAAGATGTTTAAAAAGTCTGCATTGTGCTCTTAAGGAAATGCTGCTGAAAAGAAAAACAGCTAGCCTGCCTATTCTTTCTTCTACTCTGTCATGTCTTTAATCTGATTGATCAGTGTTTAAGAATAAAAATATTTAAAGTATAAAATATTTTATCTTTAAGAGCTATCATTAATGTTTGTGTAATATTTTCTGTTTTTACTTCAAATGTATCTAATTAAAGTCAAATATAGATATTGTGATATAGACTTTGTGGATATAGGAATGTCCACAAAATAACACAGATGATTATTTTGACTATAAGCAGTTCTGTTGGATACTGCAAATCACACACTACAAATATTAATTTCAGTACACAGTGCCATCCAGTGGCCAAAATAATGAGTTCACAATATGTGGCAATGTATCAATCTCCAGACAAACAACTATAGTTTTTGTTCTTTTATCTACTCTGTATGGCAGCTTCTCTACAATGACACCTTTTACAAAGTAGGGGTGGAGATACTGAAGTTACTGAAGATAAAGTAAATTGGCAAATAAACTTGCAACATTCCTACCTTTCATCTTAACAGAAATAATTTCATCATAAAGCAATAAATAACATAACATTTTAAAAAATCAGAACAGCTCGTATTGCATTTAATTTTATTAACTGAATATACTTTGTTAAAATGATGATCTAATGATTAATTTTCTCAACAAAATATGAGTACTTGCTATCTTGAATTGAATGTAGTACACAAAATGGCAACCAGATAAACCTGCACATGTTTGATGCCCTTCATTATGAACAAAGCCCAGAGATTTGTTCAGACCAATTGGGCTTGCATCAGCTAGAGTAGAGCATGTTTCCAGGGGAAGGAGTCAAGAGTGCTTCCTTTAAATTGCACAGTATGAACTGTATCTTGGTACGTACAGTTTCTCTGTTATTTAGCATCATTATACAAATGTTCCTTACTGTAACAGTATTCCAATACTTACTTTGTATTCCGGATAACAATTTGCCAGACTTTGGCATTGGAATAAATAGAATTCCCACTTATTGAACTGGTATTTTGGCTTTTTCAACCATGAAATTAGATGCTCTAAACTCTTTGGCTAAATTAATTTTTGAATTATCCCTTTTCTTAGAACTTGATATGAATTTTATTATCTATATCTACGTCATGATAGGTCTGAAATTGAGACACCAAAGGCATTTTCTTCTTGTTTTTTTTTTTCAATTTCACCCTACATTGGAGAATCCAGAAAGAGATACAAGGATTTTTAAGCTCTTGACCAGCCACAATGAGATTACGTTTTAGTGACTATACAGTATACTGTAGATTCTACAGTATAGAAGGTCTAGATGTATCTTAAAAATCACACACATGGACAATAACTTGGTTTACAATTTGTGCTTGTGGATGCAATTTCCACAAATACTATGCCCAGCTACTGTACTAGAAGAGTTAATGGGAATTTAAGGACTTCTGTTACTGAGTTACCATATAGTAGCTCTCAAACCCAAGTGAATTTCTTGCCATGTATTTTGAAAGAATTACATGTATTTCTGCTTCAGGTTGTAGAAATCTTTTTCCATTACGGATAAGCCTTTTATACTCAAGAAATAGCTTCATCTCTATCCATCAAAAGTTCAGTCTCCTTCCCTTCACCTCTCTAAGCATTACTGAAATTCACAATCAATGGTAATTGGATACTCAGCATGAATTCCAAGACTGTTTCTCAATTTGTGATGGCAAGGAATAGAGGACCAAGGTGTTTTGAACTTCTTGTGGGTTCAACATTCTCTGAATAGGGAATCCCAACTATCTGAGAGGAATTAAAAACCTGAGAGAGTATTGGTTCCAGTACTATATACCAATGAGAAATAGCTAAAGAGATGTAGAATGGGACTGGGTGACTAAAACAGAAATTTAATAAAATTTAGAATTCATGACCGAGCAAACACCTGGCAGATGAAATCTTATTTAGACAAGTGCAATGTAGATAGAAAGTACAACTTATTGATACAGAATAGGAAACATTGAACTTAAAGAAGCTGCTTATGAAATGGACTGAGAATTGTGTTTATGTTGACACTCTATTGACATCTTCCAGTAAACCTGAGAAAATAAAAAAGGTTAATAGAATGGTAGGACAAATAGAAAGCATAGAATAATTTGATGTTATATTAATATTGTTAAGTTGATCGAAGCATTACAAAAAATGATTTCTACTCCAGAATCACTCAAGAGCAAGGGATTCTGACACACTCCTGACATAAAGTAATGTCCTACATTGACAGGTTAAAGTGAATGACCTTTAATTCTTGAACATAAAAGACTGAGGTAGACCTGATTTAAGCAAACAGAATCTTCAAAGTAGCTGACAAAGTCAACCCAAAGGACATTTTCAGTAGTGTACACAAACTGGTTAATGCAAGTTGAGAATTCTTGGAAGTGAATTTAAAACTAAGAAAGAAAAGACATTTGGGGATTTTAACTCATGACTCTCTATACAGGAGCCCTAACCACTACTCCACACTGCTGCATGTTCACATTGTTCCAGAATTCAGCACAGTAATTCTAACTTTAGAGTTAAGAAAAATAAAACTGCTTGTCTATGGTGAGAGAAGCAACCATATTTTCAACAATGTTCATGTGCAGTTTATTAGAAGCACAATAACATTTTTATTATTCAAGTATTTACAGTTGTGGAATCCAGCCTTGTACTATTAATCTTTTAAAAAGCCAGGAACAGCACATGTGATCCAGCTGGAGTCTTCTGAACTGAGTTGGACTAGAAAACTCACTGACTCTTGAAACACTCACTTAATCTGACTGCAAAAGCTAGTCTACAGCTAACCTCTAAAACAGATTGGTTCTGTTGTATATGATACAATTTAGTTTCCGAAAATCCACATTCAAAATGATATTATATATTTCCCCAAAAATACCATGAGATTATATATTTCTCCCCAAAATACTGGTGCAGGTCTTGACTGACACAACAATGAGACTTGAATGTGCTCTTCCTGTAAATGTCTCTCCTTCAGTAATCGTTCAGTGAAGCTTTGGTACTCTCATGTCCCATTCTGACTGACACAAGTTCACTGGTTCAGGTGGGTGCTCACACCTGAAGAAGGCTACACGGCCGAAACATTATGTTTTCTTTCTTCTCTTTTCAGCATGGAATAAACCTATTAGTTCACTAGTACTTGTGTTAAAATACAAGGAAATTACCTTTTAGTGTTGACTATATATTTACTTGAAATGGAACATAATCCACTTTCAATGAAAAGAATAATGAAAAGGAAAAGTAATAAAACTGGTTTGACAGAGAATATGAGTAGTTGCATCAGCTTACAGGTTTCATTTACAGTGTGTAACAGAAAACTCCTCTTTAATTTAAATACATTAATATGTTGAAGGTGTCACATGACACCTGCCTATTGAAAAGAAAAGACAGAGAGTTCATCTAATGAAACTGACCTACAATATACAAGCTAATATTACTTTAAGAATTAAAAGATTTGCACTGGCCAAAGCTCAAGATATTTCCACTGCATTCTAACTGCCAACCTGTCATGGAAACGTGGTTGACTGACACAAGCACAGTGTTTTATAAAAAAGACTGATGCATTGAGATACATCCTGCATGAGAAACACTGCATAATTCTTCTAAGATTTACAATATTGGATGTAATTATGGAAAAAGAAGACAGAATGCAAAGTGCATATACTGTAGTAGAATAATCCTGTTTTAAAAATGAAGTGTTACCTAAAAAAGTATTGTGTTTATGTGACACATGTAATTGGTAACCAAACAACCTTACAACTATGCAAGTCCAGGCATGCTACAATCTGTGAGTTTGAAACAATACTGTATGTTGAACACTATGGATCCTGGAAAGGATATCATACATGATAGGCATTTTTTTTAGCTAAATAAGGCTATTCATTTCTTCAGACTGCGGCATGAAGTACAGTACAGTTTCATTTCATCCAGTGGCCTACATAAAACCCTAAAGAGAACATAGTGTTTTGGGGGCTGTTGAGAAGGGAAGTGGTTGAGAGAAAAAAAACAAAATTCTCTTTGTGAATGTCTTTATGGCAAGAACAGTTCTTTCTTCAAGAAGAGCAAGAAAGGTTAGCACAGAATGGTCTCCATTGGCATGCAGTTGCTTGGAAACCTTTTCTGACAGGAGGAAACAATAGAAGAAAGGCAACAGAAATGTAAGAGTGCTGTGATCAAACCTGGATAAAGATGCTCTTCACTCGCTCTTCAGGCGAGTTTGAGCTGCTTAGTAATAATCAGCAGACGTTCGTTTGAAAATGGACTGACCAACAATATAATAACCAAAAAACAAAAAACATGTACATGAAAGTTCTAAGGCCACTGAATGTAGATGTACTTACATTTCCAAAGAGGAATTTTTTCAGCATGCACAGAATGAGATAGGCCCAAAAAATGTGCAGGAGCTGCAGGACCACAAGCATCACATTGAAGAAGTAATAGCCAAAGAAAGCTGGGAATCTCTGCACTGGATAGACCCATGTGCAGTGGATGAGCCTGGAGAGAAAACAAGGGAAATAAATAAGAGTAACGGAGATGGTATGTTTTATTGCACTTACATATTTTTTTAATAAAACGTTTTTGTAATATAAAATACATATATTATATTACTCCTACTAATTAAGGCAGATAAATAGCAGTATGAAAAGTCTCATGGCACCAGTACATTGGGTTTTATTAAAATACAACATATGGTAATGCACTTCTAAATTAAGTAACATAAATATTTCATAATGTGCGCCTTGATTTTGATAATTGAACCAATAATTCTATAAATTGTTCATGTGTGAAAAAACAACAACAACAGTCATGAAACATATTGCTACATTTGTTTGCATTGCTATGTTATAGTGCTTCAGTTAAAAGGATGAGGACTGGGCTTTGTTTAAGAGTTTAGAATAAGGTGATGAACAAATTGGAATGGCATTTATCTTTACAAAGTGTATTGTGTGATGTTAGCTGTGGATTACATTGGATTACATAACATAAAGGATGTTTTTGCCGAGTTTCAGAATGTCTTCTGGCCTACAATGTGAATGAAAAAAATCTTTGACCATTCAAGAATGGCAAAGCAATGATAACAGTTCTAATATTTAATTGGGTTTGATAGAAATAAATGTTTGTCATTACTGTACATCTGTATCAGTATTTATTATTTGTAGTTTAATTACTCAGTTCAGTTCAGTAAATCTTTTAAGGCTAATGAAAAGGCTTTGGAAAAAGTCCATAATTTTGTGAAGACCTTTTAATACATCCAAATCTATGTGTCCATCCATCCATTTACTAACTGGTCTGTCCAGTACATTGTCACAGAGGAGCCAGGGAAGACAGACAGACACAAACAAGCAAACACCCACAACAAGGCCAATTTTCCCAGGAGCCACTTAATCTACCACTACGTCTTTGGACTGTGGGAGAAAACCCATGTGGGAGGTCACCCAGAGAAAACCCATGTGAACACGGGGAGAACATACAAACTACACAGACAACACCCCAGGAAGTGAACTCAGAAACTCAGTACTGTGAGGCAGTATCCAAATCTATATAGTTCAGGTGGGTAGCTGCGTCAGTATGCGTAAACTGCAAAGGAACAAGTAATACAGTAGGTTTATTCCACGCTGAAAAGAGAAGAAAGAAAACACAACATTTTTTGTGTTTTCTTTCTTCTCTTTTCAGCATGGAATTAACCTATTACTTGTTCCAAATCTATATGTTTTCCATCAAATTAGTTATTTGAATAAAAGTTGGTAAAATTATGCCCTGAACATAAATAAAACAAAAGTTGACAAAAAATCAATACCATTATTTAAAAAGTGAAAATGACAGGTTTGTTTTCTTCTAAACTAAACTAACCTGTACTAACAACAATATAGAAAGCAATCTTTTTAAACAATGTTAAGACCTGACAGGGTCTAAGACTTGTGCATTTTAAAAATACACTCAAGGACTGAACTTCAATTCTGTTTACAATTCTTGACATTACAATACAGTTCCCTTCAGATCTACTCTAATAGAAATGACAGGACACATATAAGCTCTTTGACAAAACCACTTACATTATAAACATTATAACATACATATTTTCAGTGAAATGAGTCAAGTTAATGTTTTTAAAAATAAAAAGTGAACTAACCAGAAATATTTGTGTCTTACCAAAAAGGAAAGATGATCAGTCTGGTGATGAAGAATACCAAAGCAAATAACACAAACAGCAAATTGCAAGCTGTTGTCCATTTGGCATAATTAAACATCTTTGCTGACTAGGATGAGAAATAGAAAAAAAAATATTAGAAGACATGTAAATAGTATCTGAATTAATTATCACATCACAGCTCATATTCATGCTTGTGCTCTTCCTCTACATATAGACAGCTGCAGTCCAATGGACCAATTAGTCTTGGCTTTGCAATAGAGCTTTATCAAAGTCCAAGATTTGCACTTTGTTTAGTAGAAATATTTGAAACACTATAGCCAGAATCAAAAGTTACCATGAACAATGCACATGGCTTTGCTTGTTTCCTCAAAATAAAAAAATAAATAAAAAGAGCTGAGTTTGTTGTTTAAAAAACTATCTATTTGGAGAATATAATTATATATTACCAGAAGCTTACTTCTGGTATTATGAAACTTACAATTAAGAACTCATAAGGAGTAATTAAAAAAATGTAAGACACTCATGTTTCTATGTCAAAACTGATACCGCTTATATTTTTTCCATTGTCTTTGTGTTCAGACAGCTTTGCCAAAACAGCTTATGATGGCTGAAAAAGAGCCTAATAGATTAACAGGATACTGTGGTGTATTTACCAAGTCAACATTACTTACCTCCAGTAAAACATCGGAAGCATCATGTGTAACCATCACAAGGGTCCCGATACGAATGTAATTGGCAAACCAGGAGAAGCCCAGCAGAAGAAGTGTTGCCAAGTGGTGCACAATTTGCTCTCTAAAGTCCTTGCCATTAGAAAGAGAAACAAAAGTCAAACTGTTGACAAATGTCAAAAAAAGGACAGCTCACAAAAAATGGGATTAAACAGCTCACCAGGGCAATCATTCCTTTGCAAGTATCTCAAACTCAACAACTGCATAATCATTTTATATAATACTGAAATGCTATATGAAATTGTATTATTTTACAAATGGAACCGATGACTAACAAAGGAACTTCTCTAAATAAGTACTTTTAAAAATACTGTTTTTTTTACTTGCACAGCTTTGCTTTTCCCTTATTTTAGGGGACACTAAAACATAATAGAGATTATGTTGAATTAAAAAGCCTCTGATAAACTGTATAATAATAGATAAAATAGTTGCTTCCCAAACTGAAGTTGTAACATTTAGGCTTACATTTATCTTATCATATAAGAATGGTACATTCAGAAGATTTTACAATCATACTTACCTTCCTTTTGACATCAAAAGCAACTCTGAAGAGCAGAGACCAGTAGAAGCTCATCTCAATTATGTAATACCAGTACTGGGACTCCATCAGTGACTGCAAAAACACAGACAATAACAATATACTACTTATCAGGGATAATAACACCAAAACTCTTATGTTTGTTATAAATTTGCAGGAATATAATTCTGAATCACATTTTGTTGCCAAAATGTGGAAAATTCCATTAGAATATTGTATTAAACAAAATATGTGTATTTATGACATGAGAAATAAATTTTCAGTAGTGGCATTAAAATACTTGATTAACACCTAAGCCCCAGACTTGAATTCCTACACTTTTAAGATTAAGCTTTAGGCAGTCTTGAGATTAGTTCTGTTTTTCTTTTAAATAAGGAATAAATATTTACTGTCACTTTAAGCATTAATTAAAGCTGTGTAAATGACCCATGTAGTGATTTGCAAACACTATCAAATTTATCATGAAACTTGTCAAACCTGTCAGTATTTCATTCATGCTGTTAATGCTAAACATTGAAAAATCAATTTTGCATTTGATTTAAGACAAAAAAACATCAATATATATAAGTTTGTGTATTTGTTTAAGCTAGTTGAACTTTAGCATGAACGTTGTAACATTTTTTAAATTCTAAACTAAAATGATGATTGAGCCAATAGGATGACAACATTGTGGTTCAGGAAATAGATCGATGAAAGGAAAGAACAATTCATAAAAGGCATATAACATAACAAGGAAAGGTAACAACTGCAAGTGTAAGACAGAAAAGGTTTAATCACACAACTGAACAGACCTATAAATGAAGATGCCCAATTTCGACTACTGTAGCTCTGCAGATTGTTCCAGTAATTGTCAGTAGCAAATTGAAATGACTTGCTCCCTAAGTTGGTAGTTTACTCTTAGAATGTTTAGTTTGACAAAAGTACTACAGTGTACAGTATCTTAAATTTTAGGATAGTCCAGAGAACCTTACTTAATAAATGATTAAAAATGGTAAACTGTAATAATAAACCAGAGTGCACTTGGAAGACTGATAGTGAAAACAATGCAGAAGTATGTTATTATGTGTTTTGCCATTAAAAATCTGAAAATTAATTGAAACCAGTGCATTTGCCTAGTATGCAGAGGACCAATTAATCAAAGAATGAATGTGATGAATGTGATAGTGGCACAAATGATCAATCTTATGACAAAATGACATCAAATTTTTCAATAGCAACTCTAGTGGCTATTCTGTAAACAAAATTACCATAATCCAAGAGTAGAGAAATTTGAACTGGAGGAACACGTAAAACAACATTTGTTGTGATGACAGAAATCAAGTTATTAATGCAGGTCTTGAAAGTTAAAGCAATGCCCATCCAGATACCTAGATATTTATAAACCATAACATGCTTTTGTTATGAAGTAAATATCTTCCAATCATTTTTAAACAGTCTGAATTATTTTAATTGAACACCATATATTTAGTTTTATTAGTTTAGCAGGAGACTCAGTTTATAGAAAGCCTGGAAAGCTTATGAAAACTGACAAACTCCCTATATAAACAACAAACAAAAAGCCTTTTATAAAACTATAAAGTTAGGGTCACGTTTTCTAAGAGTAGATTTTAGAGCTGTTATATGAACATTTGCGGATACTGTATCCAGGTGCAGAACAAAAAACTGACAGCATATGAAATTAAATATAGTTGGTCAAGTTATAACAAAGAACTGTTACCTTTTTAATGATCTTAGATGGTCAGCAGATTGGATATTATATGAACAGTAAGTGTAATAAAACTAGTTTAATACCATCATAACCAGCAGACTATAAGTACTTCTAGTTCTCTAACTCAATATTCCGTTAAACTGAAGGGACTCTGTACCATGATTATTTCAACTTGAATCGACATTATTTTAAAGTTAAAGTTTTTTTATTAGCCACAATATTGTTTTCTTAAGTAATACTTTCTGTAATTAAATCTTGTACATGAGAGTGTAATGATTTGCTTTCAATTAATCAGTCACAATCTTTTATGATTGTTAAACAGGTCAAAGATTTAATGGCTTTCATATGTATGATATTTAATTTAGAACTCTCAAAGTTCCTTTATTTCTAATTTGTCTGAAGGAAAGCCAGTCAGTGAGATTCTTAGAGACTATAGCTGTCTAGAATAACAGAGTATCTTGCTTAATAAAACTGACAGCTCAGGGATAAAACCTGGGCAATTTTTGACTCTAAACCTCACAACAGATGCGTATTATTAATATTGCTAAAACAAACTTTTAAACAGATTACCCACCTCATCTTCTACTGATGGGATAAAATAAATTTTGCTCCAGATCCTAAAACTTATTTTAGATAATATCACAGGGGAAGGACACCCTTTAAAGTAGCCTCTAACAAACAGTATAAAAAAATGATCACTAAGAATCTCACAAAATACAGTTAACTGCTACTTGTTAGGAGTGTTTGCAAGTGTGATGATAAGTAAGGCAAACTAAAGAGACAAGTACATTCTTAAAGGTTTGGTTATAATCAACAGCGGGCCACAATGATCACACTAGCTTTTAACACCCCAATTGAAGTTGGTAGAATTTCCTAAATTCATTCTCCCATGAAATAAACTTAGTGCTCAAAAATGGAACACAAAATAAGATCAGTATATAAAGTTATGGTGGATGCAGCAGTAGAGGACAGTCTATAGCTCCCTTATGTTTGGAGACCTGAACTTTTATTAAGAAATCCTTTTCCCTATGCTGATTCTAATTTTCAGTGAACTTTCTGTATTCTCCCTGAACATTTCATATATCAGGGGAAGTTAATTGTTTCAATACTCTTTAATGAAAACTGAATTTAGAATTGTCAAATTATAAGAGAGAATTTTACTTTTACAAAGATCAGATCACAAATGTAAAATGTAAAAAATAATGTCATGCAAGATCCTGATTTTCCAAAAGGTTTAAAACATTAACTAATTAGTAGCTAATTACGAATATTAGTGAATGTGTGCTTCTTTAGAGATTAAGAAACTATTTACTTTAAGATATCCTACCGCTTAATTTCTGCTAGTCTTAAATGATTCGTTTACCTTTATACTCTTTGTCATCCTTAGTAAAACTCTTACCACTTTGCAAAATCAAGTATAGCATCAAAATGTCAGGGAAGGAAAATATTTAACTCTTTGATTTAGAAGTTCAGGATAATTTCTTTCATTTTCTCCACTACAGACATTGAGAGCTAGTGGTATCTACTGTATGTGTGTTGATAACATATACATAATAAAGAACTAACAGTTCAAGAACAGAATCAGAGTACTTGAGATACTGGGTTTGCATTTGTGAACAAAAAAACTATTTGCCCCGAATATTTTACCATCTATGCCTGTACATTATAAGTAAAACACATATATTCCTGACTTCATACAAAAAACACGTTTACATATCTGCAGTGGAGGACAGCTAACCTAACCGTTATGATTCTGTCAGAGATATCAGTGTTATTAATATTCATAAAACATGGGGATAGACACACCTGTTTTGGAAAGTCATCCCACACTTGTTGCATGTCATAGAACCATGGTTTCTAAAGAAAAGAGAATTATAGGCAATAGTTACAAACACAATTTTTGAAATAATCATATAAACAAATATGTGATAGTAAAAAGATTTGTATTTCACCATATCATTTAAATGGTATCAACAAAAAAAACCCCATGAAAGTCTGGATCTGCAGCTGTTATTTAACTCCTTTTCCTTAATATCCTTTACATGCCAGCACAAAGCCTGAACCAACCCAGAAGGAGACAATTCAGAGAAAACCTGTTCTCTCTGAAATTGGGCATCTTTCCTTCTTTTTTCCTGTTTTTTAATGTTGATTCCACCTGTTCATGTACTAAAGCGCAGCACTTAAGTCTTTTCAATTCAGAGGGGACATATTCTGCACATTCTGTTCACTGCTGTGTTGACTACAGCGTACCAAGGGCAGTGAGTATAAAACCTGTTCCTGACATAAGCAGTTCCAAGGTGCAACAGTTACAAAATAAATATGAAGCAGATGCCTTGCAAAAATATCCAAACTTATCCTATGGTATCCCATTTTGTGAAATTACAAAAAGATGAATACACATTTTTTAAACATAATAATTTATTATATTACAGTAAGGTCAGAAAAAGCTGAATAAATATGTTAATTGCATAAACATTCAGACTCATGAACTCAATATTTGGTAGAAGCACCTTAGGCAGTAATTATACCTGCAAGTCTCTACCAGGCTTTATCAAACTCTCTCAAGTTGCTTGGGAACTGCTTAGGAACAGCAGTTTTTATGGTTTTGCAAGTCACTGTATCTACAGTTTTGGTCACCACTTTACAAAAAAGATACATTTTTTTTATTAGTTCTGAGAAGAGTGACCAAGTACATTCCCAGCCTAAAAGAAATGAATATTTTTAGTCTTGGAGAAGACAACAAAGGGACCTGATTCATTTATTTGATCTACTTAAAAGTATTTGCAAAATTAACATAATGGACTTCTTCAAACTGCATAGTGAAACACAAATCTGAAAACACAAGTAGAAAGGATTAGGAAGTGCATTTAGCATTGAAAGCAGGAGCCACTTCTTTACACAAAGGTTTGTGGGAGTCTGGGACAAGCCGCACAGTCAAGCTGTCAAAGTTGTTACTCTAGCTTCTTTCAAGACATGGCTAGATGAAATCCGAGGATCAATTAGCTACTAATAATTAAAAAGACACATATACCAAATGTTTAGTTCAGAATATTTCTTATGTTTTAATTTGATTGCCATTTATCAATGTTGTTTTCAACATTACTTGTCTAAAATATAGGTAAACAAACACTCCGTTTTTCCAGAACTAACTGTTTAGCTTTCGTTCATTTTTCTTTCTTCACTATCCCATTGTCATCCTTGCTGCAGCTCCTGGGCTTGTTCTAAGAATTTATAAAAACAAAATTCTTGTTGTTTTCTGAAAGACAAACCTTAACAGAGAACATTTTGTTGCAGTACTTACATCATAAAGTGCCACTAAGCCTCCAATGAATGCTGACAAATAAAAAGTGAATCTCCAACTGCAGTGACAGAGAAAATATGTATTACAAGTTTTGAAATTACAATATAGCACTGATATTTATTTTAAATACTGATGCTCAAGAAGGAGTTTTTATGTTAATGAGGCTACCTATGCAATTTCAGTTTGAATGTACCCACAATTTCTCTGTCTAGAATGCATGCTGTACATTCCCTTCAAGATTCCTCTTCACAGTGTTGTCACATGTCTACAGCAAGATAACTGTAATGTTTAGGACAGTTTTCTTACCTGGCCTCCCTAAACTTCTTCAATATTCCTGGTCTTTCTTGATTGCGTCTCCTCCGAAACCATCTTTCCACTTGTCTCTCAGACCAGTTGCATTTTTTTGAAAGGCCATTAATTTCTGACTGTATGAAATATATATATACTGTATATGTCAGATAAGGGCCAAAACTAATCATGAACTTTGTATGAAAATATTATATTCAGTTATTTCAAAATAGAGGTAGTTTAAAAAAGAGCTGAGTTTCCTGCTCTTCTGTATTTTTCCCCAGACTTTGCTAATGATCTTATTGTGTATGTACTGAAGTTACATATCAGCATGAAATTATCCTGTTGAAACATTGCAACATTAAGACATTGAATTATATTTCTATGAGGAAACTGCATAGACTGAAAAGAACATTGGTATAATAAAATCCATGCAATGTGATGCTAAAATAAGACATAAGAATCTGATCAGAGGGATTAAGGCCATAATACCATACCAAATCCACCATAGAGAACATCCATATGAACTCAACTCTTGTGTTTGTGAACATCATAGAATTAGAAAATCATGACTCAGCTTGATTTATTAGAATATCTGCATGGATACCATAATTAAAAAGACTACTTTAAAAATTTTATGAGTAGTGATTATATTCTCTCATGCATTAGGTTTACATGTGTTTTCAGCCATCAATGATGCGCTGCTTAGAAAGGCATTGAATCCACCCGCTAAGACCTTTATTTTAGTTGAAAACATAGTCTTATTTATAATACTTGACCTGGTCAAACACTGCATAATTTTTTTTTTCCCAAAACACATCATATCATATTCCAAAATAAAACACATACAGTACATTTCAGGATAACAGTTACAAGTAGTTTTTCCAGCAGTCAAGTTACTGCTTATAACTTAGTTCTTATTTTTGAAGGATTAATCCATCATCACCTAGGCTAATAGTTTTCTGTTTCAATAGGGTAAAATATTTTTTCTTTTCTTTGTGTTTGACCTTGTCAAAAGCTTCAGTAAATCAGCTTAATCAATATAGTGCAATATTGCAGTACAATACAATAAAAGGGGGGCTTCATCATGATAACTATCAGTAATTTGGTGTGGAACCCTACAGTTCTCAGAAACCTACTTGTGTTGGGTTCTTGGAGTTAGAGCAGAAATACTTCTCTAGGACAGGGTTTTGGACAGCCTTCAGTCTGACTGTATCTTTGATTCCGAAGCATTTTGCTACTGGTGTAGCTATAAGCCTGCAGGAAATAAAAACAGAAATGAGAGAAATCCCAAGACATCGATGCTGCATCAAAATATGTGGTAACAGGGCTACTACAATAAAAGGTGGCATTGTAACACATACAGGTTTTTATCACACTGCAAATAAAGGCAATGCTTAAAGTGTAATGACAGTCAGCTTTCAATTATATTTTCTCTATCAATCATTCTTCAGACAATCACAGTTACAGCATAGTGACAAAGTACAACATAGACTAGTTATTGCAAAAGGATAGAACAAAATACCTGCTCTTGTAACAAACTAAATTGTAGAAACTCCACAGTGTAGTGTTGTCCAAAATTTCTAAATCTAAATCAATGGCTATTCTGCACTTGGCCTAATTTTTACCTAGTAATGTTATGACAGCCATTCAAAATGCTTCCCTTTCCATATCTTACCTTTCAAAGACATGTCGAACAATAAGGAAAACTACTGCATATAGTATTGTGATGTATAGATGTGATGGTTTGGCATAGACACGTCCATCTTTGTCTTCAAGATCAGCCCACGTCAGATTAACTGGAAGCCAAATGCGGTGCCACCAAAACCACTCATGTATGGTCTGGAACATCCTATTAACACTGCGAAAAAGCAAATTATGACACCCACATGACTACTTGTAATCAAGTGTGATGATATAGTCAAACAGGAATATATATGTCAAGCCATGAAAAAGGGCTCAGGGAAAGAAACACTATAACTATCTTTCTTAAATCAAATGCAAGGGGCTCTTTAGTAAAAATATGTTCATCCATTGAGCTAAAGAAACGTTTTGCTCCTTGATGCTAAATAAGCCTCCCATTAACTGGAGTGTTAAATTTACACAGAAGGGATTTATTTTGGTCTCTGTATTCCTATTAAGATACATATTTTAGATTATCTTAACTCTTATATTACCAAACAAATAAGATGGGTCAAATGAATCACCTCTCTTTTATTGTTAGTTTTTTTCAGCTTTTTCAGTGTAGAATATTGAATTTTAGTGATTGTAGTTATACAATTAATGTAGTTAATAATAGTTATACAGATGTAGTTGATTACTACATATAGTTTTCAATAACAGCTTGGCCAATTGTGTAAAAATGAGAAAGCAAAACACTGAGCAACAGTGAAAATAAAGTAAGAAAAAATAATTTCAAGTTTTGTTGAAATAATTTCTGTTGGTCTGAAAAAGTATAAGTTAGAAAAACAACACTGCTTAATACAATTGTTTAAAACATTGCTTAAAAAATTTCTTCATTGTTTTTGAAAGTGCATTTTAATTTATTATTTTTCCATTTTTTCAGGCTTAGCATTTTATAACATTAATGAAGAATTTGCATGTGTATACCACATTTCATCGCAATGAATCTAAAACACTTCACATATTGGAGGATCAACATATGCAATGTGAGTAAAGCACTCACAAAGGTGGAGAACTGAAAATTAATTTAATTAATGGGATTCATTTTGAATTTAAATTAAAACAATTAGATTATATAAATCTAGAATAGAATTTAGTTATAACACCAGGGTTAACACTCCTACTTTTGAAAAAGTCCCATGGGATCTTTAATGATCAAGCAATCAAGACCTTAGTTTAAGATCTCATCTAAAGATTGCATACCTATGGAACTGTGTCCCTGGTCACCATGGTGTGGCAAGGCTACTTGTCTAATGACACCACTTACAGCTGTTTTTTTCTTAGATGTCTCCCAATAACTAAGCCCAGCCTTGCTTAACTTTTTCAGATCTGAGGAGATTGGCATACAAGAGTGAGATGCTACTCTCTATTTGTAATAGTTAGTAAATTGAGACCTTCATGAGGTAGCCATTTTCTCACTACTAAACATTTCAAGTGGATTCCAAGTTGCCCTTTTAAACTGAAAAGAAATAAAGACCAAGCATGAGACTTAGCAAAAGAGGGATTGAACTATAAGGATACTGCTTCTGTATGTGCAAAACAACAGAAACAATTAAAACAACCATCACAATGGATGTTTAACATGGATGTTAAATTGTATTCTCAGTATGCACATCTTGCTCTAGGTAACATAAGTATGGCAATAAGGAAAGGGGGACTTTTACATACAGTACTATTGACTTGCATTCACCAAGGTACTGTACAGTGTTAACACTAAAAAAAGATTGGTAAAACAAACAGTGCACAGCATATTTGTTTGCGAACTATTGGAGGCTTGTATTATATGCAGGGCTGGGCAGAGTGAATTGCACAGCTCCAACTCTGTTTTGACAAAATGACTTTCAGCCATACTGGGGATAAGCTACAGTAAATGTTCAAAATGAAATGTTCAGATGTGCAATTTAGAACAAAAGAACATTAACCTTGTGTTTGAATGTACAGAAAACAAACATAATAACTGCATACAGGGTCAGGGTCAAGCACATGAACACATAAGCATGGTTAATGTTTGAAGGTAATGCTACAGTATGTCAGCTGTAAGAGGGCAGTAGGTTCAGGCAAAAGTGTCTGAACTATGTTTCCCAGAATGCTGTGGGGAATAAGCTGTTGCCCTCAGTCAACTGACAAGTTGGTGGAAGACAAATGGTCAGGTGACAGTTAAAAACAACTGTTGGTTTCTGGTAATTTGGGGTCATTGGGGCACAGAGGACAGGTCCTCTGTGTTCAGCTTTCACTGGAGTGAAGGAAAAAGGAGGTTACCGACTGTGAGTCAATGGAATTGTGGAACCTGCCAGTTGAGTTTTTGTGGAGTCTCAGAGAGACTTTGGGTTTGTTTTGAAAGTTGGTAAGCATCAGAGCTGCATGGCCTACTTGGTGAGCACTGAAGAAGATAGTAGGTCTAAAAGGAGCTTGGTTTGTGTCCCCTGCACTGTCAATAAAGAGCACTGATTTGTACCTTACGGCTACGTTTGTGCCCATTTTCCTGGGCCCGCCTATCTCAAACATCACGTTATGGCACACCAACCAAGGTGTGTCGGCCTGCACAGAGTGAATCTATCATATGAAAGGGCGTGTTCAAATAACCCATACAGAAGAGATTATCTTTTTATCTTTTATCTTTAATATCATTTAAAAGTGTTTAAATGTCATTCAACAAGCTTGCATTGCAGTTTGAAGAAAACAGGCAGCTATAGGTTTCAGATTATTCATAACTTGTGCGTACTTCACTTGCTCCTGCAATCTCGATGACATACTGCTAATGTCACCTTAATTAAGGTGGAAAGCAGAACACCTTACATTTTTGTTTTCAGTGTTCTAATATGAACACTGCAATAAACCTTGACATAAGGATGCCTATTTCTGAAAAATAAAACAAATGTAACATCTCTCATCAGTTTTTGAGAGATTTTGAGAGAAAATAAAAAGAAACTCTGTAACATTTACATATAAAGCCAAGGTTTTTAAAAGTCTTTAAACATGATTCATAGATAATGAAGCCCTAACACAACTTTCATACAAACAGAAACAATATTTACTTGTAATAGTGAATATCAAGTCTTGTTGAAGATATAAATCACAGTTCCTTGTCTAAACAAGTCATATTTGCAAAGCTGAACCTGACAACAGAATCAGAAAAATAATCAAACAAGAATGAGGTTTGTGCCTATGAAAACATAATGCAGTGTTAGAATGTGGTATTAAGAGTTTTCTATTTTACAAGCAAAAATAGTTTTGTAAAACCTTTCTGACAACGGGAGTCTCAGAACAGTCCTTGGAACTGGTCCTGCTTCACTGAAGTAGCACGTCATAGCCCAGGGTTAGGGATAACCTCCATGAAACCTCTTGCATTATGCATGAGAAAACCATACATGTAATGCCCTCAAACTGATTTTAAAAAATAATTCACCAATTCAAATGTTAAATTACTTAACAAAGTAATAAAGGTTATTGTCTTCCAGCTGCTTAGTAAGAAATTAGTTTGAAATCTGTTTTACATCAATAAATATGTCTCATTTATAGTACGTCTCATTCTTCCCTGCATACATTTTCATATAAAGGTTTAGTTCTTGTACATTCTGATTAAATCTTTTTTTCGAAAATATGTTTTCATTATGAGCGGATCCAAATTAGAAATAACCCTCATCAGAGTAGCCTGAACCTAAGGAATAGTTACTATCGTGCAAACTTTGGTCATTAATAAACTCAGCAGACTTAACAATAAACAAAGGAATAAAGGAATAAACTTGTTCCTATGCTTTAACCACACCTTGACCCTACTACAAAGCCAATTCTAGATTCTAGATGTGGAAGCAAGAGAAACTGACATTGCAAACCTTTTATAATAGGCAGTTGCAAGAAACTAAATATTGGGTTTATAAAAAACATTAACATGTTATATACTGTACAGTTATTTGCAGGTTAAAATTTAAACTGACCGAACTAAATAGATGTATTATATAAAGGTTAGGGGTGTTTTCAAATGATAATAATTTAGGATAAACTAATATGATAGAAAAGAAAAACTGAAAAAGATTTAGATAATAAACAAGACTTGGCAAACACCTGGCAGATTATGTTTAATGTAGAAAAAAGTCACATACAGGAAGGAAAAACATATACTATTCAGAATGGGAATCACTGAGACAGTAGAGGCTGCTTATTAGAACATTGTGTTTGTAACCACATAATTTGAATATTTTAAATAATGTAGGGCAACAATTAATATGGTAAACAATGTTTTTGTACGGTATGTTAAAACGTTGTTGCAATTTTGGTCACTAGTTTATAGAAAATATATTGGTGCTCTAGAATTATTCCAGAGAACAGCAACCAGTTTTATCCCAGGGCTTAGAGGAGTGTCTAAAGTACTAAACCATCTTCATCTTGAACAAAGAAGACTGCAAGAGGACTTCATGTAAGTATTCAAAGTCTTTAGAGCCACTGACAAAATCAACCCACAGGAATTCTTCAGAATGAACAGTAAAACAAGAACCAAAGGATATCAGAGTATACTACAGAAAAATGCATTTAGAACTGAGAACAGGGGGCCATAATGTACCTAAAGAGAGATGTAGTGTGGAACAAGCTACTCTGCCATGCTGTTGAAGGCAATACCCTGGCTTCTTTTAAGATCCTTGGATCAATTACATTGATCTGATATTCTGCTCTCATTTGTAACCACTCTGGGTTTGCATAATCTGACCTCCCTTTAAAATAAAAGTTGACTCATTTTCACAGTGCATCCTACATTGCAATTAATTTATTAAAATGTGACATGGCAGCTATTTGCCTACTGAATTACAACATTCCTTGCAAGCTGCTGAACATTGGAGTGGATAACTTTTGAAAGGGAGCTTTGTTTCATGTATTTCGTGGCTGAAAGGTGAGGTATGGTTTCCTGTTAACCTTGTAAGGACAGGAAAGAGAAGATGAATATTTTGGTAGGGATGGGGTTAATACTGACCTGATTTCATTCAGAGATCATCTTGATGAATGAGGAATTACTAAAGGACCAAGTTAGAAACCTCTTCACTGTACTGTGTTAAAAAATCATATACCGTATATATGTCTAGATCAAAGTGTAATTTTATTATTAGATTGTCATTGTTTCTTTATTGAGTTTGCTGTAGAATTTATACACATAGCAATATATACATATCTATATTATTCCCAATTTAAAGACAACCATCTCAGGAAATCAACAGTGCCTACTAACTACAGAACATGTCAATTAATGATGGTTTTCACAGGTAAATATAGTTAAAATTATAATCATAATAAAAAAGGCAATTATTTAAAATGTCTTTAAACACGTACATTGGAATCTACTGTACATGGAAGAGCATTTAAAATTGAAAACAGGTGGCCCTACTTTTTACCAAGGGTTGTGTGAATTTGGAATAAGCCACCTAGCATGCAGGAATTTAACCTTGAATAAACTAATGAAAAAACAAAACAACTACATGATCTAATTAGTATTCCTTATTTATAACCCTTCTTTTGTTCTCAGGAAAGTCCTGCAGTCCAAATGTAATGCAAAATCTTGGCAGAAGAAAATGGATGTTGCAGAAAGACAGCCAGAAAGACGTGTGGAAGATGAGATCACCTCACCATATACAGTACAGAAAAATGAGGAACTACAAGGATTCTTCCAAGACAGGTATAACTTGAAAATCAACTGAATTGCGAAACTGCAGAAACACACACTTCTACGCACAGACTGTGCTTAGAAGATGTTTTATATCTATTTTTAAACATATAATTGTTTAAACATTTAAATATGACAAGACCTAGAATAATGCATAAAATAAAGAGTCATCTTTGTCCTAACTCTGAAGCATGAAAAAAACACTTCAGACACAACTACACAATAAAGAATAAATTACGTGCATTTTTTATTTTAAAAACTTGGCTGCTCTTTGTATTCCCTTATTATAAATCTGTGACGGAAATCACTATGAAACAGAGTTTCATTATGAGTCTCCTACTCAGATCATAATTCTGATATTTTAGACTGATTGCAATTTAGCTTTTGTGACTAGTTATTTTAAGGATTTGATGGATCTTTCTTAAGATTTCAGAAACAATTTCCCATTTCACCATTGTACAGTAAGTTAAGATAAAGCATTTGATGCAATATGTTATACTGTATATACTGTACAAACTGTATACATGGGAGTATAGAACAATTTTGCTAAATCATTTTCCTACTCCCTTCCATAGAAATAGTAGAATGTAGTCATAGTGTTAAATTTCCATCATCTTGTGCAAGCATTACATTAATTCAGAGAACGTGAGGAGAACTGAACTAATAAGCAAAACTAATGGCAATAGTAAAATATACATTTGCAATTTATAATTCATTCTGAATGAATACATTTGCATTCTCTGAGATTTAAGAGAAGACACAAAGGTAAACCATCACCATAGAAAATATACTTACTATAAATCTGATAAAGAAAACATCTAAAAGTAAAACATCTTGATTTTCAGCTTATAACATTTTGCATTACAAACGTACATGACTGTTTACTTTGTATATATTATACAGTATTTAACTATATATGGGGATCTGCGCTTTATAAAGAAGCAAGTTCAACCGTTTGGAAAGTATTACCAATAGCTACAGTATACAATACTGTTAAAATCAAATCAGCACTTATTTAATCACATAGGAATTGTACAATGTTGGAAGGACTGTCAACATACAGTATGGGGCCGACAATTAAATCATATTTTATTTTAATGTTTGATCTCTGAAAGCAGACACTGTTTAAAACAGCCTATAATGTTTCGCAATAGGAATGTAGTCCTGCAGAGAATATATTGGCCAAAGCACCTGTTTTATCTTGGAAGGAATGACTTACAAAAGCTTCTCAGACATTGCTCTAAAGCAGAAGTTACTGCCCACTCATAATAATTTATAAATACCAACATAAAAATTACCTCCCCTAATAAGACAAATTAATTTCCTTTTAGGCGAAAAGGATACCACTTTTACCTGAAACAATCAGGAAGTACTAAACATCTGTATTCTCTCAATGAAATGAATATTTTGCACCACAATAAAGTAAAAAACACATACTATGTCTATCAATCTCAAAACCGAGTGACATCTCAAACTGGATGAACCTTCAAGAATTAAGAGTTGGTTAAACACAAGGATCTCTGAATAAGTCATAAAAGTTTCCTAGCCTTACTTCGGATGATATAAACATCAGTCATACCTATTACCGATACTATTACCTATTTGGAACACAAGCAAGAGACAGCATAAAGTTTACTTACCTTTTAAAAGTCAAATCCTGTTAAAGAACAAGGCAGACAAGAAGCAAGTCAGGTTGAGAGTAGGTTTTAAAGTGTCAGGTCAGAGTCTGATAATGAGAAACCAGGAAAGCATGACAGTTGCACACACCCGGCCACTCTTTGTTTGAAATTCTTTAAAGTCACACCCAGCTAAGTTGCAATTCACGTTTTTTAGGTTACCAGCTGTGTGACGTCACAGCTAGCTAATACTGCTTAATGGCTCTGCCTCACCTTCAGGAGAACATGCCCAGATTAAACCACTGTGACTTAACTTTCTGTGCTTTATGATAAAGTAAAAAACAACATTTCTAGGGAACACATTTTCATAGCAATTAAGATAATAAAAAATAATGTGAAGGACAGAGAATAAAGGTAAAAACTCACCCCAAAGTTAAAAGTTCAGTTGTCTTAACTGAAGTAACAATGAAACCCTCTTAAAATGTATTCCAACTGTCAAACTGTCTGTTGGGTTTAGTAATAATGGCACAATCAGGTACCTTTTTATTAAGGAGGAGGAAAGGTTTTCTTGAAATTAAGTCATTGCTCAAAGAGGACGCTGAATATAATAAATGGAACATCTTCCCTGAACAATAAATCACTTTTTTATTGTTTATAGTATCTAATCTCCAAACTTTTTCTTGTTTTTTAAGACCTCTTGAATTCTAATCATTAAGATTCGGAATAACTAATGCCTGATGTTATAAAATTCCCATTATGTTGTTTTTGCTTTTTTCTACAGTTTTTTCATTATTTTGATATGCTAATAGAATTAGTTATACAGTAAACCCTCAGTTTAATGGACTCCAATAAGGGGGAAGGGGTGTCTTTCATTGTAGTTTTTTTCACCCCCAAAACAAATTATTATATTAGAATATATACTATATACTGTATATGTGCTTATGGATCTTCTCTTATTTATTAACAACTGCAATCAACAGTCAATACAAATTCTGTCTGTGCCTTTTATCATAAATATACAAGCTCTTTACTTGATGGGTCACACATATATTGTATAAATTTAGCAAAAGCATACAAAGCACAAACATTAATGAAAACACTTCTGCCATACTAATATAAAGATTGATGTTACAAAATAAAAAGTGAAATATTTAAACCTCTGATACGGACTCCTAACTTAGTAATGTTAATCTATGACAAAATAATGAACATTCAAGGTGAGTTATGTTGTACATTTAAGAAAAATGAAAACAGTGTAAACATGGCATTGTGGTAAATGCTTTCTGAACATGTCCTTCATTCACTACATCCACTATTTGCTTCAATATGCATTAGGAGTTTAAGAAGAAATTTGGGCTTGTAAGGAAATAGATGTCTTCTTTCCAACCTGGAAATCACTTTCCTAAGCCTTATGAGAGACACAACAGTTTTCTTGAATATTGTAGGAAGGGCCTGATGTTCCTTCTGCAGTTTCTCCTGACTGCCTAGGGATGAACTTAAATAAGTTCTTGGATCCTTTGTAACTTCATAAAGATTTGATGAGCTCAGTTTCTTTCCTTTAATGCAAGTACTTTTAAACTCTTCAAAGTTTGTTTCTTTGCTGGTTGAGGAGTATGAAATGTTCAGTTCTTCTGGTTCAGACTCTTCTGAGCTTGCATAATCAACCAAGGGACCAAGTGAAGATGTGATAATCCCACTGACTGAGCATTTAGAATCATTCCACTTTGCATCATTTTTTTCTGAGCTCAAAGCAGGATCCACTGAGGACATCATCTTCCAAACAGGTTCAATACTTCCAGAATATAAGGAAGCTGCAGAATGTTCTCCACTGGTAAATTTATTAACAGCATGTTGTGAGGAATATTTTTCAAAGTGCTGACAAATGTAGCAGAAATCTTGCCAGTTTTCCCGGAGTATTTTTAAATATCCAACAAAGTACTCCAAAAAACAAGTTTCAGTGGAAATTAAGAAGTCCAGGAGAACAGTGTGGTCAAATGCTACACTGTTCAGAAAGAATAAGAAATGGCAGTGGGGGTTACAGCCATATTCATGGGTCAACTGAACAAAAAGTTCTGCATCACAAACTTCAGTGTTGCTCACTCTGTAACCAAACATAAAGACAAATGAAAGATCTCCTATTAAATACCAAAATATTAGTAAATGGGCTTAGCTCACAAAGGGTGAAAATATATTCTTAAAATTAGAATATGAAATTATATTATATAAAATTATTAGTACAGATCTGTTCTGTTCACGCCTGTTACTGAATCAAAAGAACCAGTTGAGGTCGTTCGACCACCTGGTGAGGCTGTTCCCTGGCACAGCCTCCTGGGAAAAGTCCCTGGGGCAGGCCCATGAACAGGAGGAGCTGGAAACTGTTGCTGGCAAAAGGGAAGTCAGGTCTGTCCTGCTCAACCTGTTACTACAGTGACCCTCACCAGGAGTAAGTGGGTAGAAAATGAGATGAGAAAAATCTTTAGTTCCGCATTAAACCTACCTTCTGAAATGCAAATACAAGGTAAGCATGGCTTTTGCTGCCTCCATCATGTCATCATCCTGATCCAGAAACACCACAGAGACCCAAGAGCAGGGGTGACAGAGCTGCTGCTCTGTAGCGTTTAGATGCTTCTTCAGGAAAAGCATCAATGAGGGCAGATATCCCTGAATTTCGAAACCAGGTACAGAGCCTAGAGAAACACAGGATTTACAGAGAAATGTTAAAATCCAGATTCAATTTAAAGGGTATTATAAATGGAACTGGTGTTTCAATTTTGCTATTTTTTTACATTTCTGTAATTCTCAACTAGATCTTAAATGTAAACATTACTGACTAAATCTGTTTGACATTCATACTAAAAAGCCTTTCCACCCTAACAAGAGGGATTACCTATTACACTCTAAGTTAAAAATGTTCAAATTCTACATTAAACAAATATTTCCTGTCACAGTTCTGCCTGAATCTGATTACCTTGTGGCTCCCCTCTGTTGCATAACAAGTGCATGAGTCTCTATTTTTTAGAAAGTTCCTTCTAGCATTTTGAAGATAAATCTGAAACTCAGTTTAAAACTCTTGTCTCACCTGCATGCAGGACTTTATATTCCAGTGACTTGATCAATGTCAAGATTGCTGCCCTGAGCATCACACAATCTGCACTTCCCAAAACATTTTCACCTACGATACTAGTTCCTCCAAAATAACTGGGATTTGAGCTCACAGAGACACTCTGAAGCCAACCTGAAAAAGGTGACTGCAAAACAGCAGTTGCCAGCATTAACATATCACTGTCCAAAATATCATCTCTCAATAATGAACCCTTTACTTGTCCTATAGAAAAATCTTCACCAGCCTTCTGGAGCAGACATCTTTTCAAAAGGAGAAGCATTTTCTTTTTCACTGAACAGTGAACAGGGGAACCAACTAGCTGCAAGGCCAATGATGCCTGAATGAATAAAAGTCTTTGACTTGAAGCCAATGTCTTAAGCTTGGTTCTTGCAGCAATGAGAACTTCAATTAAGTCAATGAAGGAGGCCAAACTTGTTTCAAAACCAAATTCATATTTTGAGGAAGTTGAGAGCTCTTGACTGAAGTCAGCGAAAGAAAACATCATTGAATGCAAGGCAGGGAACACCAGGTCTAATGAAGTCAAAAGTTTCCCCAAAATTTCTGGAAATGAAAAAGTAATAACATTAGCATTCATAATTTATAATTAATAAATGTACAGTATGTGTAACATCATGAAATTGATCAAAGTTCTACTGATATCATACTACTAAAAACATCCATACCCATTTTTTGCTGAAATACTCCTCTCAAAAGACCCTTTATTACAAATGTAAGAGACCACAAACATCCATTCATCTCATTGTCAGGGCAACGTTTCAATAGTGTCTGTAAGCACATCTGTTGCCAGTGAAGATCAAACGAATTCTACAAAAGAAGAGCATGGCTTGTGTTACACTGTCAGTGACTAAAACATTGAAAGCCCGTACAAAGCCAAAACTACAATTTCAATAAATAGCTAATACATATTGCTTCTAGGGATCTAGGTAATGACCATATATGACATGTACAGTACAGTCTGCAAATACTACTTAACAGCACCCTATATTCAAACAAAATGTGCCAAATGTTTTTTTTAATACAGAATGAAATAAGCCCATTTGACTTTTCTATGATACCTTCTGGACATTATAATACTCACAGTCGAGCCAATCTGAAAAAGCACAAGTGATGAAGCACATTTCACGGCTAGGTGTGATAATAACTTGTCCTGGATCCCAAATAAAGAAACCTGAAAAAAACACAAAACATGTTTCCTAAAATGACAAACCAAATGACATAACAAAACATTTTCATTAAGTGAAGGTTTATCCTTTTATTCTTGCTTTTTTAACTTCCATAATAATAGATACTGTAAACTATGATTTTGTAGCAAAATGTGGCATACTTAATCTTTTTTACTAGTGTTATTCAGAAGTTTAAACATGATATTACAATACTGTATACTTGCATTAGTACAAAAATGAACACATTCATAGATACAATTAAATAATGTACACCTGCTGATGCGGGATTAACGCTAGGAAAGAGAGAGAGTTATAAAAGAGACTCACAAGTTTTGACATGAGGTCCTTTTCTTCCAGTAATATTCTCAAGATATCATAAAGACTGCTATGTTCTCGGCTGATACAAGACTGCACTTTCGAGCTCATTATCTCTATTAAACTCAGCACGAAGCACATCATTTCCATTTGTTTTTCACAGTGATTATTTTCATTCATTGAGGTGACTGGACAAGCAAATGACATGTGCTGTGCACTTTTGTTGCTGTGCTGGATCGAAAGAGAATTAACTGAGGCTTCAGGCCAGTGGTCAGAAATGCCTTTGTAAATGACAGATGCTACATCAAAGTCCCCCTTGTCCAAGGTCACTCCTGCTAGCAATCTTCTGTATATGTCTTGTAAAACTAAAAAACTGTGATCCATTTCAATTTTTTGTCTCTTCTCCAACGCGTTTTCCCAAGGTGAACTACTGATCTTATGCTGAAAGACATTTCAATGACAAGAGAACTTCTTACTTCATTGTCCCAGGTGGAAATTCTGATTTACAGCTAGATAAAAAGATGTACACAATACAAAGTACATTTAACAGAACATGAATCCATTAATAAATTAAACACATACTGTACAGGAAAACACTCTTGTTCATCTCCAAAAAATGTTTGTAATAGTTCAATACTTTCCTCATGCAGATGTTAAGCATCTAGTTTCAAGCATGAGAACTGTTTCAGTACTGGAGGCAAATTTCCGAGTTGTCTCCCCATCTACTGTGTATGTTTAATATCTTGCAGTCATAAAAAATATGTAAATAAAAACGTGATCTAGAGTCAATTTTTTATTTCATTTACATTATTTTAGATGCATTCACTAATCTATACTAATCACTATTAATAGATTCAGACAACCAATTTCAGCACATAATCTTAATTCAATATTCTAATATTCTAACTTCAAAGGCCATTCGGATTTGGACCCCTGTATTATCCACTGCTTCTAGAGAATCTTACATGCCAGTTCCCCCCCTCCTAAATACGTACGGTTTTGGCAAATTTTTCACACTATACTGGGATGCAGTAAATATGTGAAAACAGAAAAAACCTCTTTCAGACCCGATAAAAAAAAATCTGTTTATGTGTTTAACCCCTCATACCACATGTCGCTAAACTATATTAAAGTATTGTACTAGATAACTTGTTTTAATAGTATGAATATACATTAATTGGCTGAAATTACACAGTAACAACTAGAGGCCATTGTAAAAAAACTCGAGTGCATGATTTACTTATGAACACAGCTTCCGTTCTGAAGAACTAGCAATTACTTATTAAATGCCTATACAGTATATACAATTTCAAATAACTGACAGTACCAAAACCGTCAGAATATCTGTTTACATACAGTACGAACACTCCACTCTACCTCTAATCACACCTGCCCTGGTTGTTTCCTCTATGTCGTCATCGCCATGCGCTGTATTTTCATTGCTCATTCATATGTGTTTCATGGGTATTGTAGTAAACGTAGGATTTTACAAATGGCCTCTACCTTCATAAAAAAAACCGAAACAAGCATTTTATGAAGCCCCGCATAATTAATTTCCATTTAAATAGAAACTACCACTCTTCATTACATTTATTACTACATTACACGACAATATCTTTGTTGTGTCTGACACATGAAGAGAAATGCATTGCCCGACTTTCTTTTCCGGCGCATCATGGGAGAGGAAGTTCCGCTGCTGAGTGGCTGCTGAGAATGTCATCTACTTACAGTACAATGTAAAAACTGATGTTTCATATTAAATACGTTTCTTTTTAAAGCGACTCCATTTAACACGTTTGAATTATTTCTACTATGTATATATTACTAGTAGAAGTGCGGTTTGAATTTATAGGTTGTTTATGCATATTGGTACAGACATAAATGTGGAGTGATTAAAGAGCGGTTTCTGTTTGAGGTTTGCAGTTGTGCTTGAATCGCCCCTTGACAACTATGTTTATAAGTCCTCAGTAATTCGACAGCACTTCCTCTAAGAGAGTTCTTGTAGCAAAGGAGAATCTTTTCAATGTATTTTCCTTCAATTAAGTTTATTTGGTGGTGGTGGAGGGGAGACCCCATTACCTGTAAAGCGCTTTGAGTGGAGTGTCCAGAAAAGCGCTATATAAGTGTAAGCAATTATTATTATTATTATTATTATTATTATTATTATTATCTGTCATATGCACACGTGCAATGAAATGCTTATTTGCATGTATGCTTCGATACAAAGACAGATAAGGTGTCTTAATATTCTTTTCACCTAAGAGATTGTATCTGTATCATTTGGTTTCCAAGCATATTTCAAGATATGTAAATTTGAACAAAAAACAATATCACACATTTCAGACAGCCGTGCTCCCCATCTCTCACAGTACATATCCGCCTTTCATTCTTGCCCTGAAGAAACCTAGGGGATACAGTATTAGGCATCTGCTAATGATGCAATGTCTGACTGTTCAATTTGGTATCCACTGCCGATTTCAAGAGAGGTGACTGCTGCTGAAGAAATACAGAGGATGATCAAATATTTATTTTATATTATTTCTATTGTGTACTATGTCTCACTTGCTGTGCTGTGAAGTCTACTCCCTCTTACTGATAAGAAGAGCCTGCAAGTAGGGGTTGCTTAGCTATTATCAGTTGCTCAAGGTCCTTTTCTTCTAAACAAGAAGTTTTTGTATTTTTTTTTTACTTTTCTATCTTTGTTTAGCAAAGCATTCTGTTAACTGAGCAGAATATAAAACTCTGCTTGGCATTAAGATGTCAGAAAAAGTGTAATGGATTTGTAAAATTGTAACCCTCTGCGACTATGGCACTTTCCCAAAGCTACTCTCCCCTGCTTGCCTGAATAAAATAAAAACACCCTCTTGAAACCTGAGTAATCCATTCTAAGTCTGAACCATTCCCTTTTCCCTGGAAGATTTATTTTGCTTCTAGTTTGATTTTTATTGTTACAGAAGGTGAGCTTAAATTAAAAAAATGTTTACCCGGAATCGGGTCAACAAGAATCTTATTAGTCAGTCTGATACCAATACAATAGGAGCTCATTCTGATTTGATCAACACTGGGGTGATAAAGAACCAATACCTACTGTAACAATTACTACTGGCCAGGAATGGCATCAGATATGGAGAAATGGTAAGTTTTATATTTTATGTGTTCCTGTCATTAACAGAAAACTATAATTCACCATGCCGAAAAAGAGATTTAGTAGTTAAAAATACTACAATGATGTACATTTGCACATTTGTGAATACCCTGAATGTCAAATAAAATGGATACCAATAATACAAGGCACAGTATACTCTCCAGTAGAATTTTTTAATTCTTTAAGAAATTCAGACAGTATTTTACAGCACTATTATGTATTATTTTTGGTACATAAGCATGGTAACATTTTCTTTTCTACACAAAGTTTGTCAAGCTTATGGATAAATTATATTTGCATGTATTTATCTAATACATAATTGTTTACTTTATGTTTGACGTGTAAGCAAGTGATGGTGACACAAAGGAGACAAGCCTGGAAAGGTAGACCACAACCATGGAAATGTGTTTACACTAACACACTAACAAACTAACACAGCTCTATGACCTGGGTAATATCCTGCCATGTTTGTACACGTTTTGCACGCCTTCCCTTGTCTGTATGGGTATTCCATGCATCTTATGTTAATTGGCAGCAGTAAAGTGTCCTTTAGTGTGTATGTAGGTGTGACCGTTGCGGTTCCGCGCAGGCTCGTGCCCTCGCCCATCCACCCCGCCGATTCATCGCACAACACCTGGGCGCGAACCCGGGTCTCCGTCAAACCAACAGGGAACCAGCCGAGTGAGCTAAAGGAGACCTCCCTCACCCATGGCGCCTGAGGTCCCCGCAGCGCTCCGCTACATAGGCTCCAGAGTACCACACGCATAAAGATTGAAGAACTAAGAATAGCGAGTAATCTAAGCATTGCTGTTTTGAAATAACTGCTGAATGACTTTGGAATCCACCCATCCAATTTCTAAATGCTCATCTAATTTAGGATCATGGGGGAGCTGGAACCTATACTGGCAAGCAACAGGCACGAGGCAGGATACACCCTAAATGGGACTCTAGTCCATCGCAGTGCAGACATACAAAAATGCACACACTCACACTTAGGGGCAGTCTTCCCAGAAGCCCATTAATCTACCAGTATGTCTTTGGACTGTGGGAGGAAAGTGGAGCACCTGGAGGAAACCATGAGGAAACATACAAACTCCACAAAAATTACCCAGGATTCAAACCTAGGGAACAAGCACTGTGATGCAGCTATGCTAACCACCATCCCACCATGCTGTCCTGTATTAAACCATTCAGGCTGTATTTTTTCTACACTTTGGACTTGAAGAAAGGAGAATGAGAGTTACTAACTAGTAACGGATTAGTCAAGGGTAGTAGGACCAGTAGGACCTTGCTGGACCAGGACTTATGCATGGAAGTGTTGGCACCTGAAGGACTGGAGCATCACCTGCCAAGGTAGCTGAGAAAGGAATCCAGACACCACACTCCCTTTGCCTTAACATAAGCAGACATGGTCTCCAAGAGTTGCTGTTGTGTAAGTAATGCAGATGTTTGTTATAGAGAGGCATCCTTGGCTAAGTGAAGAGTGAGAGTGAAAAGGTGAGTTTAAGTGAATAATGTGAAGTGTAAAAATTGAGAATTGGGTGACAGTTAATCAAGTTAAATACCCCAGTGAGAGTGAATCACAATAAGCGAATTTTGTGATATAGATCTTATAGAGGATGGTAGCTTGCACAAAGTGTTGGATCATAATAGTCCCATAATGGTGGCATTAATATCTTTCTTAAAAAACCTTTTGTGTAAAAAAGCCATACAGTATGTATCATATCAAGCAAAAGAGGACAATGTGCCAATCAAAAAGTAGACAAATGTGCAAAACATTACTTTGCAGTCTCAAAGCTAGTAATTGGGAGTATCAACCATCATTTAAATAGTTAAAGGGGTAGCTGCGTCAGCATGCGTAGGCTGCAAAGGAACAAGTAATAGGTTTATTCCATGCTGAAAAGAGAAGAAAGGAAACACAACATTTCGGCTGTGCAGCCTTCTTCAGGTGTGAGAAAGACAGGGCAGACAGCAAAGATTATAAAGCATAGGAAAACAAAAGCCGGGAAAGTGGAGGAGGCGGGAGCAGGGGAGAGGCAGAGTGGCCACTCAGGTGGTGCGAAGTCGAGAGAGGTCATTAAAATAATGATTTTGCTTAGATTTATGTATAAGAAAGTGTGTGCACTAACTAAGAAATTAATTAATTTTCCGATATGGTATTTCTTCAGTGCATGCTCCAAAGCTCACAATTATTTCCTCATGGTGTATTCTGGATACCTGGAACCTCATTTACTACACATATAATGACCATTCAGAAGACATATACTGTATATACTATAGATATATCTATCCAGGAATAGGAATGAATATGTCTACAGGATAATGGTAATAGGCTCCAGTTTCAAATCAAAATCAAAATCAAATCAAATCAAAGTTTATTTATCAAATGCACAACAATGCAGCGTGCAGCAGTAGTTGCTGGCAATGAAATGTCTTTTCTGTGAGCTCACAAAAATCACAAGAATAACAAAAATCACAAAATTATCGTTACGAAAATAAGGTTACATAATAATAATGTAATAGAAATTGAATAAAACTCAATTTGAATAGAGCTGCTATGTGTCCATGGTGTGTGCAATATATTATGTCCAAGTAGTGCAGTATGCAGAGTACAGGGAAAACTGTATGTCCATGTAGCCATTACGGGTGATGCTAAAGGAGGTGCAGGTTGGCTGTTAAGCCAGTTCCCCCATGATCCTGAATTGGATGAGGCGGTTAGAAAATATATAGATGAAAGTCTGTCTTCCATTTTAGATTTGGATTGTTTTGTTTTAGGTCTTTGTATTTTAGCTTCAGCAATGTTTTTTTTTGTCATAACTATTTAAATGTGGTGAATTATCTACAACTTAAATGATATTGAAATGTTTCTGTGAGTAAAAATGTCTGTAAGTGCATACTGGTATGTATTGTATGCATGTAAAGTTTCTTTGGAATTTGATCAATTCTCTGTAAACAATTATTACTTTTAAAAATAAATCTTGTGAGTTTAAATTATACAGTATGTCTCTTCTCTGTCATTGATGCTACAGTTGTTCACCAAATTAAAGAACCCTGTACTTTTGGAACTTCCAGACAAAGAATTGAGAGGTTCTAGTTCTCTATAGTACTAGATAGCATAGAATACTGTATATTGTCTTTTAATTAAATGCTAAAGCATAACCACTACAAAACGTCAGCTACTGTACAATGTCTCCTTCTAGAATGGTTAGCATTAAGACATTAGCAGGGTTTACCTTATCATCCTTATCAACCTTATCATCCAGGTGGATGCTGCACATTGGTGGTGGTGGAGGGGAGTCCCCATTACCTGTAAAGCACTTTGAGTGTAGTGCCCAGAAAAGCACTATATAAGTGTAAGCAATTATTATTATTATTATTATTATTATTATTATTATTATTATTTACATGCGTATTTATTATTTTTAAAAAAACTGTAGAAATTTGTGTGATCTGATAGTAACATTGATTGTATCTTCATATTTTGCACCACAGGAAAAATAAATAGGGAAGCAAAACATTGTGAACTCTGGAACATAATCTGTCTGGATAAAAAATGATTTTTCTTAAAGGTTAAACACATGCCATATACCTATTGCTCATAGACCAAATGTACAATTTCCTAACATGGCAGATGCCTGAAGATTTTTCTTTTTTGATTTTGATCTATTGTACATGTGATTTGTGACAACATTCTTACCTGCACTCAGAATCTATCAAGAGGGTTGGTTAAAATCTGGAAAGGTGGAACAATGAAATGCCGTGGCAGTAACTGAACAGATTTTAGGAATTTTCTATATTATTATTATAACATATTAATCATATTAACATATGTGGTTCTTGTCCTGCAGCACAATTACGGGGGAAAGTAATTAGCATACTGTTCACTGAAGGTATTAGGGTTCAGAGGCCTTTGCCCAAGAACCGTTTCACTTTTTCCTGACTGGTACAGGTGTCTTAGATTAAAATACTAATTTTGTATCGGACTCAACTCCAAGGAAAAGGAATCGCCTCTCAAGTCTCCACCCCTTTTCATTACTTTACTGTAAAAAAGAGTTCAGATGGAATTTTATTGGTGGCAACATCAACACCATAAATTGTAACAGGCTGGGAAAATTAGTGACGATAACAATACAATTATTGTAGCACATCACATAAGCCTAAATGTTTTCTACAAACTAAGGTTTGTAAAAAAGCCTAAGAGCATTTTGGAGTGTGAATTTCAATTATTCCCATTTAAGAGATTCTTTGTTGGAGATGTTTGTTTTATTGTTGTATTGATTTGTTGGACATACATTAATACATTTCTCCAAGGTGATAATAATGTTTGAATTTAATTTATGGTAACCGAGAGTTGTTTTAAAGTACTGTATGTACAGTATTGACCAGAAATGAAGAGACAATAGTATTACACTGTTCTCCGAAGATGCCTTTTTGTAACAGAGTAAACCTCTTTTCAAATCGAAAGAAAACGGCCCTGCGACTTCTTGCATACAGTACCTACACAGTTATTCTGATTAACGTAATCGTGTACTGCAAACGTTGCTAAACGTGCTGAAATTCAAAAGTACATGAAAGCTACTAACATGTCAAGTTTACAGATAATACCAATATAGGTGGATTATCAAACACAAAATTAAATTAAAAAAGATCTTGATAAGATTCGTGACTTGGAAAACAGCGGGTATACAGTATGTGGTAGACGATGCATAATGTAAACAAGTGCAGCTGGTAAAACTGAGCTATAAATACAAAATGGAAAACGCAGAGTTAGAAGAACTTATGAAAAAAAATCGATTGCTTCATCATTTACATTTTCAACGCGGATAAGGAATTAAAGAGGCACACGAAACGTTACAATATACATCATAAGAATTGGGACCGTGAAGTAAAAATGGCTATTCTTGCTGTATACTCAAGCAGTTTAGATTTAAAGATGAATAAAAGACAAAAGTCAATAATATCTTTTTATATTTCTGGGTATTTCTACTAATATATGCTTTAAAGTTTTAGACCACTTTTATTAGTAGTGTCCCACCCCCGCCTGGGGTAGGTGAGCTATTGGGTACACATTAACTTGAAGTAAAATTATATAAGTATTTGGTTGCAAATACTTATTGTTTTTTAAGCAAACACTGTATAAAAAGTATAAAATTAGACGAGAAGTGTTATTATTTAAAATACTAAAACCTGTTCAGTTTTCTTTAGCGTTCCGTCGTTCCGGGTTTTACCCAGTCTATGGGAGAGCTTCGACAGGGATCCCGCAGAAGGTGAAAAAGTCTGTTTCGAACTTTGCAGGTTGACAAACTGAAACAAAGTCACTTATTTATCTGAAATGTTTATTTTCAAATATGTCAATTTATCCATTGTATCCTGACCCCAAAACAGAAATTTAAGAAATCGTAAAGTTTTCTGAAACTGAAAAATGTTTGATTTTCAATTATTTTCCTAAACAGAATTAAAATAATTATTAAAATCTTAAATTGAGAATTTTAATTATTATTGATTATTTAGCATGCATGATTGGTACCCTCAAATAGGTGTACAAAGAAATACAAATGCACTCCGGTCTCCAGTACATCGCATATCACCTCATAATGGCGAGACGGATTACTGTACATCTGCCTAAAGGAAAAAATAAATACATCGTGGAGTGTTGCAAGGAACGAAAACGAATTGATTTTTTTATTGATACTAGTTTAAATGGATTCAAGTGTGAAAATAGGAACGTGTACGAGAATCTACTTGTTAATTCAGCCAACACACAGCGGCGGATCGGTGAAGAAAGTCAATGGAGATACTGGATCCTAAAGTGCTTAAAGAGCGCCAACATTGCTGATAGTCTGTATACTAAGAAAAGTATTAAATATATATTTTAACTATTTACAATATACTACTGCCGTTATATAGCTTAGCATATTATTGTTATACAATACTGCATTATTGATAACATTTAGTTTAGGTTACCAAATAACCAAACGTTGTAAAACGTCAGATATTTCCTGATAAGAGAAAATAAAAAAAATCTTGTAATCTTTTAAAAATCGTTAAGTATAACACAAACTCCCAGTGGGGTGTTCGTTTAGGCAGCAATGAAAAGCAAGTTTCCCCTCTGTTCTTTTATCTCTTTTAATGTCCGCAAATGAACTAGACCTATTGTCGCGACGTCGCTGGCGGTCACCTGTTTTTGCAGCAGTTTGTCCAACTAATTTACGGCAGCTCGAAAACTGATGTTTCTTGATGCTGATTGGTTATCATGCGATGGTTCCTTCCCAGTAACCCTTCTGAATTGGGTTGGTTCAGTAAAGTCAATATAAATTGAATCAATTATTCATTTTTATTTTTAAAAAACAATCTATTGTATCAATTGTGTCGAAGAAAACAGCAACCACAACGTTATAGAGCCGGCGTTTTGAAATATGGGCGCCGGTGCTTTATTTCGATTGTTCGAAACACCAGGGGAAAAACTCTAAAATACAGTCCTGTGGAAGGTAAAGTCTAATTCTGCTTCAGTAATCAATTTATCCTTTTTCGTAGCACAATTTCAAGTTTAGTATTTTACACACTTACCAGTTAAATCCGGATTATCGAATGGTGAGGAGATTAAAACAAAACAAAAATAAAACTGCTCAATTTGAACGGAAGTCTGAAAAGGGGAGACCTGGAAGGTAACACTCTATTGTTTGTATAATAATGGTCCTCTTCACTTCAGAACTCTTGTATTGTTATTTTACAAATTTGAAGTTATATAATTGCAGCTCTATGACATCAGGGGCTATCCTTTGAGTGACTCGGATACAATATTGACATTTTATTTGCAAAACAATGTGACAAGTGCAGTAGGAGCACAGGTCTGCATATAGTGTATAGCGCACACAATATTGTAATGCTCTAGGTTTGGGTTTGGCTATTACGCATTTAAACTGAACAACATCCTAACGAAACAGTATTACTATTAGACACGGTGCTCCTAAAAGTTATGTTTAAAGACTAAATCAGGTGTAAGTTTGCGCTTTTTCGATAATTGTATATGCCTCTCTGATATTGGTGGTAGTCCCTTTTGACGAGGCAAAGGTAGAGACAGTGTTTACAGCTTCACCGGCTTTTTAGTTGACTGTTGCATTGAGTACTTAAACACATCAATGGTAAGTATTTTAGCATCAGCTATAGAACTATTTGGAAATAATTGATGTTGAGTTATTGTACTGTATACCATAACTTGGACTTGAAACCATGAACTTTAAAGGAAAAAGTACATACTCTGTAAACAAAGTAATTATACATACTGTAGAACCATTTGTTCTACATTCTAAATTCTTTTGAGTATCTATCTAGAAATCAAGTATTTGTATATCCCATACTACCACAAATAAAAAGGTGTTAACTGATTAAATTAAAATTTCAGTCAAGAATGCAAATTTATGGACAACTTGTAATGGTTTCTGGCTTATTTCTTAATTGAGAATTGTTTTACTGTGGCAAAATATTCTTAAACAGTAACCATAGCCAGCATAATAATCTCTCCTAAAAGAAAATGCTAGTGGTGTTTCATTAATAATTTATTTGCAAGAATTAAGTGGTAAGTGGACCAGACCCATATTGTTGTAATTCCGCTGATTGCCAATATATAGTACAAAGGTAGCAGACAAAAAACGAAGAAAAAAAAACAAAAACATGTGTAGTTGTTTAATAGGACATTGGGCCACCATGTGTAGCCAGTATGGCCTGTATGTGCTGTGTTGTAGAGTTTTCCAGTGTCTTTCCTATTTTGCCTCCCACTTCAAATTAATGCACAGATACAACAATCCTGGGCTATGCGCTTCCTTCTACTTGTGCCCTTTGCAGTAACTATCTTGCTCGGAGATTTCCATACTGACATCTCTGTAGAGAGTTGCTCCTAAAACATCAGTAAATTGAGCTGCCTTGGTGTCTGAAAATCCTACAAAATGCATCTCAACTTTTAAAGCAAGAGGTCAATTCTTAACCATAATTATGGGCAGCCAAGGTCTGGACAGCCCTTGTGTACCTGGCCTTAAGGATGCTGGGATGTTATTTACACATGTGGAAGCTTTAACTTTCAATTTACTTGGTGTTCAACATATCCCCAGTTGTTGCCATTGTTTGTACCTTATGCTCTGAACTTTAGAGATTTACAACACTTTTGAAAAGTGAGGATAATGTGAGATATCAGACATGTTATTTTTTATTTGAAAGAAGTTATTTTTTATGGAGCATTCTCAGTATGAAGTTGGTAATAAAGGATATATTTTTCCCTTGTCTATGAACTCTTATTGACATTATGCATTGTGGTCTTTTTTTTAGATATGTGTGTCAATTGTCTTGAATGATGATCACCTCTGGAAGATGCATTAGTATGTTTAAAGGGCTAAAAAACTGTGTTGCACATCAAGAGCTTTGAAACAAGGTAATATGATCAATTTTTTAATTACAGAAAAAGTGGTTAAAGACTAAGGTTTGATGTCAGAATTGCACACTGAATACTAGTGTAGTTTGACCTAGGTAGCATGTGATGTGTTGTATACTACATTAATAATATTGTAGACTGCATTTATGGATGTTTTGTCCATAAATGTGAATTATGCACTTAGTAATGATGTTTCTTGTTTTAGACAAAAATCTGAAAGTCCTGATGAATCCCTTGTAACGAGATGTAACAGGATGCTTCATCACCACTGTCGAAGGAACCCTGAACTGCAAGAAGAGCTGCAGATTCAAACTGCAGTTGCAGCAGGAGATGTCCATACGGTGCGCAAAATGCTGGAGCAGGGCTACTCTCCAAATGGCCGTGATGCCAATGGCTGGACCCTGCTTCACTTTTCAGCAGCAAGAGGGAAGGAGAGATGTGTCCGAGTGTTCCTGGAACATGGAGGTGGGAAATGTGGGAAAATTTACCTAATTTTTTAATTTGACTCTGAATAAGTCAGGTGAATAGAGTTGAGAATAGTTTAGGTCATATCAATAGATAATCTTATTTGAAGAGAATCTGAGTTAATGTTAACATCACTAGGTGTTCGTACTGGTATTGTCTGATAGTCTCAGAACAAAATATCTGAAATAGTGTTTGCAACAGCGAATCAAATGTTGCAAAAATAACCATGTGTGAGAGTTTTCCTTACCATTAATCTCAATGCATTTTCCAAGCAGAATTACTCAGTAATCATAAACATTTTTAGGAAGAATATATAGTGAATACTTACAGATATTGATATTAAATGCAGATGATGGTGAAGACAAGAAAGCAGCTGCAGAATGTTATAAAAGGGATGCATAGCGGTATAAACATATCGAGACACTTCAATAAAGGGACTTTATTGCTTTAAAAATTTTAAATACTAGACGAATACAGTTGCAAGAAAAAGTTTGTGAACACTTTCAAATTACCTGGATTTTTGCATGAATTACTCATAAAAATGTGGTCTGATCTTCAACTAAGTCACAATAATAGACAAACACAAACTGCTTAAACTAATAACTCACAAACAGTTGTACTTCTTGTCAGCACTGAACACATCGTTTAAACATTCACAGTCTAGGTTGGAAAAAGTATGTGAACCTCTAGGCTAATGACTTCTCCAAATGCTAATTGGAGTCGGGTGTTCCAATCAATGCCCTATAAAAAAGGCACACAAAGGTTGGTTACAGGTGGAGTCTGCTCTTCTCAAGAAAGAGCTGTTCATGTGAATCATGCCCCGATCAATAGAAATATCAGAGGACCTTAGAAGAAGAATTTTAGAGATGCATAAAACTGGAGAATGCTACAAAAGCATTTCTAAAAGCCTGGGTGTTCATCAATCCACAGTAAGACAAATTGTCTACAAATGGAGGAAATTCAGTACTGTTGCTGCTCTCCCTAGGAGTGGGCGTCTTGCAAAGATCACAGCAAGAGCACAGCAATGCTGAAGGAGGTGAAAAAGAACCTTAGGGTAACAGCAAAGGACCCGCAGGAATCTCTTGAACTTGCCAAAGTCTCTGTTCATGTGTCCACTATAAGAAAAACACTGAAGAAGAAGATTGTTAATGGAAGGACACCACGGAGGAAACCACTGCTCTCCAAAAAAAACCATTGCTGCATGTCTCAAGTTTGCAAAAGACCACCTAGATGTTCCACAATGCTTCTGGGACAATGTTCTGTGAACGGATGAGACAAAAGTTGAACTCTTTGGCAGAAATGCGGAGTGCTACGGTATGTTTGAAGGAAATAAAGCACTGCACACCAACACCAAAACTTCATCCCAACCATGAAGCATGGTGGAGGCAGCATCATGGTTTGGGGCTGCTTTGCTGCCTCAGGGCCTGGACAGCTTGCTGTCATAGAGGGATAAAAAATATCAATGAACTGAAACAGGTTTGTAAGGAGGAATGGTCTAAAATTCCTCCTTACCATTGTGCAAGTCTCGTCATCTGCTACAGGAAATGTTTGGTGGAGGTTGTTGCAGCTAAAGGAGGTTCTATCAGTTACTAAACATAAGGGTTCACATACTATTTCCAGCCTGGACTGTGAATGTTTAAACAATGTCTTCAGTACTGACAAGAAGTACAATTGTCTGTGTGTCATTAGTTGAAGCAGATTGTATTTGTCTATTATTGTGTCTTAGTTGAAGATCAGACCACATTTTTATGAGTAATTAATGCAGAAATCCAGGTAATTCCAAAGGGTTCACAAATGTCTTCTTGCAACTGTAAATACAACTAAACTCTTTATAGAAGTGGAAGATTACACATAAAGCTTAAAGCAAAATTTTCTAGAAAGCCCAAATATATATTATACAAGGATTTGAAGAATAAATCACAAGGTCCTCTAATTGGTTAATGTAACCAAAAAGAAAATTTATTTGAACAACGTCCTGTCAAGCAAATGCACTTTCAAAATAAAGCTGTTAGACTTTGTGTAAAATAAACTGATTAATCTTAGTAAAGTGTTTTGATAACATTTATTCTGTTTAGGCTGTGTCAGACCATGTGTTTTTCTCCACTAATGAACTGAAGCATGAATGGAGAAAAGTTTGCACAGCTTTTAAGAAAAATAGTGCTGACTTTGAAATTTGGACAATGGGTTCATAGGATATGGTAATTTAGCAATGTTGATCTTAGCTATCACTGATTTACAGAATCTGTCTTAAATGCAGCCATATAAGATCACTTTATTAGCCATATACAATATTCAGTAATAATATGTAATAAACATATATTTAGTAATATGCATAATATACATATTTAAACATTCCAACACCTCAGGCTGAACTTTCCAACAGAAAAAACTTTGAAAGAACTAATCCATTTCCGTTAGGAATGGATGCAATTGAAGGACAAATAAAATACAGAAGAAAATATTTTCCTTATTTAACAGTTTTGATGGCAGCTGGGTTCACAATCTTAGTTCTCTCTTATTTTGTTTTGGATAACAATTAAAATTTTTTTGTGCAATTGTGTTAATGATCATTATCATGAATTGAATGTTCTGGGACAGTTACAATTGAGGAGGGATTTATTTTAACAGCTTAATGTTTACTTATTTTAATTTAGCATTACATTTTTAAATAAGCTCTTCAAAGGGAAAAAAGCGCTACTGCTACACATCTCTCTGCAGATACTGTATATGCATAAGAAGAGCAGTAGTGATGTTTTTTGCCAAGAGATGGCAGCATATCACTTAGAATAAACAACTTTAATAAAGTTTAAGTAAATTATGTATTGTGTGTGATTTTATAGGTTCCTCTGTAAAATTAATAACTTGCATTAAAAAAGTAAAGTAAATGGTAACCTAGTTTAACAATTTTAACCAAATCAAGTTTAAGCAAATCTCGTCGTCCCCGATATATATTGGGGATAAGGACCAGAGAGTTGAAATATGTCATTTCATTACATACTGTATATAGGAGAATTTTTCTTCTCAAGAACAATGTAAATGTGAAGGTTTCATGACCTTAAGAGTGTAATTTTGCTCAACTTTTCCTCTAACTTAGTGGGATGGTTTTATCATAAGAATTAATGGAATCGAGTCAGGCTAGGGACCATAAGTTAGAGTGCGTTTTACTTGTAGCTAAGCAAATACAGTACAGAGTGTCGTGTTAAGTAGAAGTTACATTCCTAAATAATGCAACTTGCAGTGAAATGACTTAGAAAGTGAATTAATATCCATAGGGAATAGTATTATTAGCCAGAGATATGTCTTGAATGGGGCCTAAAGGTTCATAATCTAAGTCATGTACAATACCATTGTCAACAAAACAAATTATTTTAAAGTTAGATTTTGCTCTCCACAATATATTTTAATTTCCATAACATAATTATCTTCATACCACCTATGTTCCTGGCTTTTGGTGCAAAACAACATAGTGCAGGTCAACTTATAATGGAGACCACCTTAAGTGTATTTATCCAAGAAAACAATTTAATATGCTGCGCATATTATGATATATTACTTTATTAATCTTGTATGTTTAATACATATACAATCAAGTGTCTTGGGAATAACAGTGCACTGTTGCTTGTTGTCTTGAGTGTTGACAGCTTGCACTTTCTAACTCACTCTTAGGACCATTGACAGTTTTTAAAAGTTGCATTATTCTTTTTCATTAAGAGAAGTTAAAATATATATATATAATTTAACTAATGGTCTTTTTACACACATACGCATAGTTACTTTTGTATTGTCTCAATGCATTCACTTAATCCTTTCTGATGGATTCTTATTTTGTGTTTATTTCCTCTTTTTTTAAGCTGATCCAACGGTGAAAGACTTAATAGGTGGCTTCACAGCTCTGCACTATGCGGCTATGCATGGCCGGGCACGGATTGCGCGTTTGATGTTGGAGTCAGAGTACCGAAGTGACATCATCAATGCCAAGAGTAATGATGGCTGGACTCCCCTCCATGTGGCAGCCCATTATGGTAGGGACTCGTTTGTCAGGCTCCTCCTGGAGTTCAAAGCTGAGGTCGATCCACTCAGTGATAAAGGCACCACACCACTTCAGCTGGCCATTATCAGGGAGAGGTCCAGCTGTGTGAAAATCCTGCTGGACCACAATGCCAACATTGACATCCAGAATGGCTTCCTTTTACGCTATGCTGTGATCAAAGGCAACCACTCTTACTGCCGTATGTTCCTCCAGAGGGGGGCAGACACAAATCTGGGGCGCTTGGAAGATGGACAGACTCCCCTGCATTTGTCTGCTCTCAGGGATGACGTTCTCTGTGCTCAGATGCTGTACACTTACGGGGCAGATACTAACACCAGGAACTATGAGGGGCAGACACCAGTGGCAGTGTCTGTCAGTATGTCTGGAACGAGCCGGCCCTGTCTGGATTTCCTACAAGAAGTCACAAGTATGCCTTTATTATTTTTGTGCTTTATTATAAAAAGTTAAGTTTTCATTTAATGCAAGTCATGTTTCCATTTAAAACATTTTTGTTAAAAAAAGCACATAGAAATCAAAACCTGTGTAGTTTCAATTACATGAATTTGAAAAATGAATTGAAATTGGTTTGAAACAAGGAATTGGAATTAAAAAAAAACTAGAACTGACCTCAAAATGGGTAGAGGCCTACAATATAGTAACTTTTTTTTTTAGAATTAATGGGTTCTCTTAGGACCCAAAGGTACATGATCTATTTATACAAGATTTGACTGTAATGTAATAGTGTTTGTTATGCAGTGCCTATCACGAAATCAGATTTCTAGGCGTATGTCAGACCTTCTTGCCTGATTAGCTTAAGTAAAGGAAAAGAGCTCCCCTAAGGAAACAGCTGCCTAACAATTCAATCCAGTGTTGCATACCGGAGAATCTCACTGTGCCCGAAAAACAATTAGAAACAATAATTCTAATATTTGCAATTCATGAATAGGTGATGGCTCGCTTTATTCAGTATTGAAGTTCAGCACCCACCTGGCATTCTGTGCCAGTTGTCTCCCTACATAACAGATCAGGAGAAGAAAGGATAAATTTCTTAATTTGAATATTGGGGGAAATTTAGAAAGAACAGTGTTTACAAGCCAGCAACCTTACCTATTTAACCTTACCTATTTAACAATGTGCACATTTCAGCATTTTGTCAGTCCTATTCTTTCCTGTAAGGCAGTTATTACAGTGGCAGCAAAGAATAAGTATAGAGACTTAAAAATGATGACTTAATCCAAAAGTAGATATTGTGCTGCAATGTAAACAGCCTAGACTATATTTGGATTTTGCCTGACTTATAAGTAATGTTAAATTTAGATATTAAATCCCCGGTCCGGAACAGGAAACATTTTAATTCTTTATAGTACTTTATTATATTTTGTATTGCACTTCTGCTCTCCAAAGACAAACATTGTTTAAATGAACAATTTTATCAAATCCAAGTGTTTAGCACAGGTAAGTGCAGGGTTAAAATCCCTGCATTTTGTCTTTAAATAGTGTGTGCTGTAAGCATGAGTTACTGGCAAATGAAATAGACACAAGCAGCTTTTTAATAGCAATTTCTATTTTCTGATAATTACCCTAAAAATAATAATAAAATCTTTCTTTATGTTTGCTATATATGAATATTACTGTTTTCTTGTTTTCAAAGGTCCCGTATATGATTTAAATTATGAACTATTTCTCTATTAAATTAAAATTAATAATTGATAAAATTCAAATGTAGTATAAATATGATTGTGGAGTAGATCTTCCTACAGTAGCACATTTTCCTATAGACAAGGAAGCGCAGACTGGTGAAAACTCACAAAGTGAACTCTCTGCAGGTACAGTAGATTAGAATCAGACTAGATTGTCTGAACTTGAATCAAGCTCCAGATACTGTGACACATTTGCTGTATTAATTTGTTCACACTTGCGGGCCTTTGTACTGTCCTACTTTAAAAAATGGCTTTACACAAACTTACAAATATAGTGCACTACAGTGCTCAGTATATGGACCTTAACACCCAAAACCTAGTTTTGGAATAATTTTCCCAAACAGTAGTAAAACTACTTGTAAAGGAAAGCTCCAATCTTTTATCAGCTATTCTGTATCACCCTTGATTCGGCCTACTTGCTGAATCCCTCCTGAGAATACCACTGACATTCCAGAGTCAATTTTCTTTTGCCATCTAGGGACTGTGTAGAACAATCAAACACGTGCATTTGATCTGTTGTTTCTTTATAAAATAAGTCAGTACAAATAAAATAATGGATGTTGCAGTAGGGAGCAGCAGTGTTACATGTGCATGTCTCAGATCTCGGCAAGGTTCCAATAGGAACCGCCTGTAGCAAGGTGAGGGTACCTGACGTTGGCATGGCAGAATGAATTGCACTGTTTAATTTGGCTGAATCTACCTAGTTGTAATTGTGCTTGGCTTTTGATTTACAAAAAAGTGGAACTTTAAAAATATTCATCTGCAGATGTCATTGTTATGAAAAAGACTTGCTTTTTTGAAGGGAAAAAGTCTAAAGCGCCCATATCAACTACTCAGAACTCCCAAAACAGAATTACAATGTTATTCTCATCATAAAGAGTGAAATTACTTTATAATTTAGGTTGTAGACCTGATACTAAAAGGTCTAATTACAAACAAAAAATAGAACAGGGATTTTTCAACGTTCTCATATGCAACACATTATAATGATCAGTGTGTGATTCAGTATTCACTTACACAACAATGAAAGGTATGAAAAGGAGACGGCCTTACCTGGAGCAGTAATGATTTACTTAGCACAATACCAGCATTCCTTTCCATTTACTGAACTTTGATATCAAGATATCAAAGAGATTTGTCTTAGGCTGCAGTGTTAAATCAAACCCATTTGGAACTGGATGATCCTTGTGATCAGGTTTCAGATAGGTTATGGATTACATATTAAAACACGCAGTAGCCTAACTGCGAATGCTGTTTATTTCATCCCATCATTGTAGGTTGTATTGAACACCTGCTTTAGAGGAAGACACTACAAGGGCTTTGTTTGATCTGCATTTCCCTTAAAGAAATAGAAAAGGTAGTTAAAGTGACATGACAGGCATGCAGATGCGCAGAACTTAGTCTGTGTTGTGTTTTTTTGAGACAATGTTTGTTTTTGACTATGTCCAATACAAAAGAATGCTGGAGGCTTAGGTCCCATTAATCCAATAATGTTTTGCTTATGTAGGTGAAAAGTAAATGCAGCCTCTTGTGAATTACTTTGAGTTTCTTGTTTTGCTGTTTTAATAGGACTGTAGCAGACTGTAGGTAAACTTTGGTTTAATTTGAATTTCTTTTAAAGACTATTAAAATCAATTTCCCTGAATGAAGCACAAAAGTTGTTGATTAAAGTACCTAAGGGTAGCAGAAAATGCAGATTTTTAATGTACAGAGGAATGAAGCATATTTTTTACTGTGTGGCTCATAAAATAGAGACATTACCCAATTACCCAATTAAACAGCATTATTGACTAAATGTTTTACGTTTGCAGCAAACATCATTAGGATTTGACCATTCATTGTGTTAAGAGTGCCTGCTTGAAGTTCTTATTTTAGCTTGTGAACATTGTCAGCTCTTATCATTTTACCTCTGCCTGGGAACATGAGGATTAAATACAGAGTTTCAATGTGGTTGATTTGCCTTTTATTCAAGGATTTCTCAACTTAAGTCAAAGGTTTGTTTAAGGGCAGGCTCTAATCCCATATTTATTGAGAAGCAATCAGGAATAAGTAAGCTCTGTAGACACCAACATCTACCGTAATAAAAGGCAGCTGCTTAAGTAACCAAAGAATTTTCGGGCATGACCTTAGACTTCAGTTAGCAATTCCTGTAAGGAGGACCAGGATGTTTGGAAAATCCCTTTGATTCTTTACAAATTGACACCTGCTAAAAATATACTGTTTGTAATTTTTTTTATTAATATATAACCACTTCAGTGGCATGTCTACTTGAATAATTTATCATAATTTCAGGTTTTAAAATAGTTTATGAATGTTTTGTATATAGCTTTAAGTGTTTTGGTTTTTTTCTGGTGATTTTTAGCTATTTCTAAATGGTTATCTGAACTGTAATTTTATCTCTGTACATTATTTCTGTTTCTCTTTCAGGACAACCAAGAAATTTGCAGGACTTGTGCAGAATAAAAATTCGACAGTGTATAGGACTTCAGAATTTAAAACTTCTTGATGACTTGCCAATTGCCAAAGTCATGAAAGACTATTTAAAACACAAATTTGACAGCATCTGATCCGTACAGTCTACACAAAGAAAATGACTGCAGACTTACATCCTCAATGAACTCCTATGCAAGTGCTGACTTTTGTATGTGAAAGCTCTGAACAAACTTAGATTTTGTATAAGCTGCAGTCTTACCTTTGTTTTTCACCCCAGGTTTCATGAAAATTTGCTTTATTAAAGATTTTTTATGAAGGTTTTTTCCATTTTAACAATATTCATACAGCTTATGGGGAAAACAGAAGTTCTGAATCTTTATTCTATAGGCTATATAAATTATTTAAAAATTGTGGTATCTGTCTGGCTCCTGAGGGCAGCAGTAAAGTGGGAAAATGTTATTGAGAAACTTGCTACTTTATGCTATTTAAAAAAAATGAATTTCATTGTTTTTTTTAAATTTAAATGAAACATTATGCTCTGTTAAACAAGTTGTTTTCAAAATGTTTTCTTAAAAGTAAGGTTTTCTCAGAGTAACCATTCTCAGATTGTGTGTTCTGAAAGTAAATGTTAGCCTTGTAATTTGAAATTATGGACACAAATTTTTACCTATTATAAACTGAGTCTAACCGTAATTTTCCAATTCAGCAATTTTGTGAGAAGTAATTGTAATACTGAAAAGTCTCAAATCTGAAGGCTATTCACATTTCAACCTCCTTGACTGCTTTAGGGTAGGCATTACAATCTTTCGCTTATTTCCAACCAAATACTTTTTTGTCATGTGGACTATGTCTAGTTTTGGCAGTATGCAATGGTTTCGGAGTGTAGAATGATGTTACATTGTTTTGTAAAGCAGGATATAAAAAGTTTAAATAATGATTGAAAAATTATTTCTTTCAGTATTTGGGAATAATTGATTAATATTCAGATACTGCCCAGTCACAAGAGCTTTTCCTAGGTCATTTTATCAAGGGTGAATATAAAGTGTGTGGACATCGTGTCTGCCAAACTGTTTTCATCTGAGTTTAACTTAGCCTGACCTTTTAATTAAATTTAAAGAACAGTGCAATATAGGCTTCCCCTTCAACACCAGTTGTTGGTATAGACAAAATGTAAGCAGGATGGCTTGAAGTAGCTAGATTTATTTTTGAAGAAAAGCAGCAAAGTAATTTATGAACCAGGCATGAAAAAGAAAATGTTTTCATATTGTCACAGGAAGGGATTAATTTGAGAACATGCAGTAGCTTGTACAATTATTCACCCTCCTGCAAAGTTTACACATGTTATTGTCAGCTTACAACCGGGAAACTTTCAAATAGGACTTTATAGGTAAAAGATTAACAATCCATAAACTGATTTAAAAAATGGTGAAAGTTGATTTAAAAAATTTAGATGTTCATATTTACATAAGTACTCAACACCTTTGCTAATGCAACCCTTAATCAATTAAGATGTGGAAGAATTTGATGACACACTGAAACCTTTGCATAAATGTTTGACTCAAGAGTAAATATGTATGTCTGTCTAAATTCCCTTAGACCTTTACTGCATTTCAAGCAGCAACTCACTAGTGATGTGATATATCAATCAAGTTCTATATCTAACAGTGGAGTCACTAATTTAGTGGCAAGAAAGAAGCCTTTATGGGAAAATAGTTATCTTAATCTCATATTAGACATGTGGCAGAAAGTTTTGGGGTGAAACGAGAAACAAATGGCACTTTTTAGTCTATATGTAAAGTGATACACCTGGTGCAAGCCCAACACAGCACATCACATTTTCAGCACATTCCAAAGGTCAAGCATGGCAGCACCATGTTATGAGGATACTTCTTACCAGCAGGGACTGAGCACATACAAGTGTATTCTACAGGAAAGCAATTAATTGAGTGGCACAAAATCCAATAGAAAATATATGGCAAGCTTTGGAGATTGCAGTGTAAAGTACAGGCCTTTTCCATTGCTTTAAGCTGGTAGAGACATAAGAAGACAGCAGTAATTCCTGCCAATGGTGCTTCCACTGACTTGGGATTGAATTGTTGAATTGAATCTTTTTTCTGGGTTTCCCTAACATTCTGGTTTTATCAAATATGACAGCATTCAGTTTGATAGCTATAGTTTTGTATAAAACGGTTGATGTGGGAAAGAAAAGTATGTATTTCTTGGAATATATCAAAATGTGATGATACTGGCAGGTGGGTGAATACTTTTACAAAACACTATATAAACTTTTTTTTCCTTCTCTGAAGGTTTTATCCCTCAACTTTTTCAGAGTATGGATAATGCAGAATTAAATTGAAATGGACTGTTTATCCACTCATGAGCAAAGTTTAAGAACATAAGAAAAGAGTTAGGGAACAGCCTTGAAAACGCATTTGGGTAGAGTGTTCCAGACTCCCACAACCCTCTTTGTAAAAAAAGTGCCTCCTGTTCCTAGTTTTAGATGCTTATCCCCTTTCTTCTCATTTGTGTCTTCTAGTTTGCATTTCATCACTGATTCTCAAGTCATCCCATGGGTTGAACTTGTTAATGCCGTTGAGCATTTTGAGTATTTAAATTGGATCTCTGTCCTCTCTGTTTAAGACTAAAAGGCTTTAGTTTTTTTTGTCCTTGAGAGCGCAGCATTCCTCTACCTTAGACTGATTTAAACATTCCATTTTATGGCTCAGTTTTATACGCAGTTCTTTTGAACAAAGCAACATTTTACTTAATTCCACATCAATAATACAAGGAAAAAGGCACTGCAAAGACATAACCTTGGCGTTGTGGTACATGGGGAAATATGCACAAAAAAATGCTAAGAGAAACAAATTCTTTACTAGGAGTATTTTAAATAGCGGTTAGTGAGCAGAAGGTGTAATATTGATTAGTGAAAGCATTTTTCAAGGAGTCTGCTGTTATGTATAAATGAAAGACTTAATCCTATCACAGAAATGTAAATATTTGTATTATAAATGTACAGCAGATATTTTTTTAAGATTATTTAAAGCTTCAATATTTCATTCTAACATTATAAGGAAAAAAGTAATTGTGCTTGGTCTGATGTGGCTTTTTCAGTGTCTGTTTGCACAGTGCTGAGGTCTTTGAAGTGATTGAAGCCATTGTGTTTAACCAGAGTGATTGGAATTCGTTTGATCCATAATGGGTACAGTGGATGAGGGATTAAGGAGTTGGCGAACAGTAGTGGCCAGACCCGAAGAGCAAAAATGCACTGCACCTGTTTAATTATGTTTCTGTATCTTAAACAGTATCTTAAACACATGCCTTAAGTGTATGATAAGACCAGACATCTTCAGCAAAGGTTGTATCCTTTGGTAATGTCCTTCCACATTAATTGGACAATGGATAAAGAAAAGTTTTAAAACTTTGTTATATTAATTTTTGGATTTTCCAGAATATAACTTATATCAGTGGTGTTTTGATTTTTTAACTTGACAAAATATAATAAATGTTGGTTTTGAATGGTGCTAATCACACAGAATGATATAGAAATGTTTTGTGACATTTCCCTTTGTTTTTTTCAAACATAGGTGAAAGGCTATAGGAAATGTGATTCTTTGAGCCCTAGGTCTAGTTACTGATGGTCCTATAAAAAACAAGTATTCAGCCTTCTCTTAAGAGTTGTGTAAATCACTTATTATTGGCCAGAGGCAAAAAATATATTTTCAAACATTGATCACTTAAGAAAGAGCAACACTCTTTGCAGATTGTCTTGCTCACTTGGTAGTTTCGTAGCTGTTTGAATCTAAAATTGTGTTCAGACATCTCTTGAATGATTCCAGAGTTTGTGCCACAGCCATCTGAAATGAGAAGCCTGTCTCTAATGCTGCCAACAGTTTGTGTTAAGAATTGTATTATTCTCCATCTTTAATTACATTTTAGTTTCCAGTTGTCAACCTCTGTCCTTGTTTCACTGATTCTAAAATAATGCTCTGGGTTGATATTGTCCATAAGCTTTAGGATTTTATATACTTTGATAAAATGTCCTCAACCACCTTTGTTCTAGAGTGAAGTAATTTAGCTCCTTTCCCCTATCCATATGTAAGAATCCCCTGAAAACAAGAATAATAGTTTTTGGAACAGGTAAAGGTTGACAAACAACATTCTGTCTCTTTTCTTTTACTTTCAAACATGGAATAAACCTTTACCTGTCCTTTTGTAGCCTATACAGCACATATTGACACAGATACAACTACGTACTTGGAACTTCATAATCCTTTTTGGTCTTTGTACTGGGACTTAAATATCCTTTTTGGTCATTACTGTTTTCACATCTATTAACAAAATAATTGCTTCTAAATTAATTTCTCAATAAAATAGTTCTGGTCTTCACAGTGCATTGCAGTTCTTGAAGAGTATCACAGAACTGTACAACAAAGTGGTGATAAATTGGTTCAGCCTTCAAAAGGCACTTTTGTCCATTTGTCTTTAAGTGTAGTTTATTGGTAAAAGTAGCATTAAACTTTCTGTATCAATATTACAATTTATTAAATTATGCAGCACTCTTTATCCATGCTTTTCCAAAAGCAGCCATTGCTATCAGCTGTCGCAAGCTTAGATATCCGTCTAATTTATAAAGAAAAAGTCATATTAAATATTTTGAAAGAGAATTGTCTAATTTAGCTTGTATAGAGATTCTTTTCAGCAGTAAAGAAGAAACATCTTCTGTTCACCTCCAGAGTCTTCCAAACTACCAACTGCTGAATGGTGGGGAAAAAAATAAACAGTGCTGAAAACTGTCTGATCATTTGTAAAATGTAAAAATCTGTGAATAAAAAAGGGAACTTACAATACCTTGCTTCTGTGTCTCGGAAATGTGGATATATCTATAAATACCCGCAGGCATTAAAAACACAACAAATTCAAAATATGTATTTTTAATGACAGCTAATTATACTGGGATAGTAAAAATGCCCCTTTTCATATTCTTACTTTTTTTGCAGATTTGGAAAAACGTATCTACTATTTTCTATAAGAAAAATATTACTGCACAGTTAAATCCAGTTTTTTCCCTATAAATTGATTTCTTTGATACCAGATTAGTCATCATAATGACTAATTTTATCATAATGATCTTATCTTAAATTTCATCTGGAAGATCCAATCTGATCCAATGCCAGTATAATTTTGTTTAAAAAAGAAGTTATTTCTTAGAGACTGAATTTAAAGGAAACAAAAGCAAACATTTTTTGGTTTTTAACATATTCATTAATTCTTTGCATTTCCACCCTCTCTTTTTAGAATTATGTCTGGTGATGTCCAAGGAGTAATTGGAGTACTGTACACTAATTTTCAGCAACTCTAATTTTGCCACATAGATACCACTGAAAGCTAACTTCTAAATATTTTTACTAGTCACTAGGAGTAATTAAAACTTTTTTGTTTTTGGTATGACATAAAAATACCATCAGATATGTTGCTATGAAAACTCACAAAAGCATACACATTTTCCAGAACATTTCGCGGCCAGTATCCCTTAGCATACAATAGATGTTTTTCCTTTCTAGTTCTGAGGAATGTGGTCATGAATACACAGGTTTCTTATTTCTTCAAAGTGTGCACCAACATATAACCAACCAAATATTGGCAGAAGTGACCTAATAGAATTGAAGATTTATTTACGTATTGCTTTACAAAAAATTAGGTGGTTTCATTGAGTGACTCATGGGTAATATTACATGAGAAAACAATAACATTTTTCTGAGATAATGTGGTCTCAACCACAGAACTTTTCAAAGCTTGTATTGTTCCAAGCCTATTGGGTATGAAAGAAATTATGTCAGTACTGTTTCTAAAAATACTGATAACGTCACTGGAGGACAATCAAGGTAACTCCCTAGGTAAATCTGAACAGATAACCATACCTATCTAATGGAGTAAATTCCATTTTATAAATATGAATTGTATGTTGTGAGCTAAATGGTAAGGTTCTGGCAAGATTGGAGCTATGCAAAATGATGCGTTGATGACAATGGGATTTCTGTTACCTATAATGAGAAAAGCTTAATCACCAAAACTCAAAAGGGAAGCTTGTGTAGAAGACAACAGGAAAA